AGAGAATGTGTTAATTTTTCAATTAGATATCTAAGAAAAACCCAATTTTCAATGTTTTTACTATTTTTTTTATTTCTCTGGCAAAAATTAATATTTTTAAACGTTCTTAGGCTCATTGAAATCGTATTTTGTTATGCAATTCAAATTATATAAAACAATTCATGTACACATTCTTCGCTAGCGTATGCAAACCGTAAAAGTTGGCTCATAAAATGTCAAAAAATTGAAATTTAATTCTACAATAAAATATAATGTTTAAAAATCAAGTAAATATATCATTCTAAAGTTCTCTGATTTATGTAAGTAAATTTAAGATTTATACATTTTACTGATCATTTTTTGTCATATAAATATTAATCACAATTTTTTGACATTTCATGAGCCAACTTTCAGGGTTTGCATACGCTAGCGAAGAATGTGTACATGAATTGTTTTATATAATTTGAATTGCATAACAAAATACGATTTCAATGAGCCTAAGAACGTTTAAAAATATTAATTTTTGCCAGAGAAATAAAAAAAATAGTAAAAACATTGAAAATTGGGTTTTTCTTAGATATCTAATTGAAAAATTAACATATTCTCTTTGTCAAGGTGTCATTTCTTTCAGAATTTTATTAGCTTTAATAAAATAAAGAGGAAAAAATTTTAGTTTTAATATTTTTGAAGATTTGAACAGTTTTATAGTTGTTGAAAAAGCAGAGTGCGCACAATTTCGGACGGTAGTGTAATTTGAATTTTAACAAAAATATAGAGATTATTAGTAATATTTGAAGCCCTTTAACTTTTTGAATTCACTTCTCACTGAAAAATGTTAAGAAGAATAGTTATTTGCCTTTAATTAAACTATAAAAATATAAAGTCGAAAAATTGAATATTTGATGGAAATAATAAGCTAATTCGTAACCAATTATTATAATACCTTCTCATGATGAGAATGTAAAAATTTAGCCAAATCAAAAGTATTAATTTAAATGTTATGTTGAATGGGTATGGACAATCCTATATAATTTCATTACATTTCTCAGTTTAATTTAATCATTTACAGATTTTAATAAAATACTTTAACCCCTTGACAAAGAATATCAATTTTGTTCGAAATTAATAAAAGTGTTAATATATAAATATTAAATAAAACCAACCCGTGTGGAAAAGTGATGTGGGCACCCAGTGGGGGCCCTTATGGATCGCCCTCATGCCATGAGGGGCGCATATGGATGATCCATATAGGGGCCCCTCATGGAAACGACATGCTCATCGATGAGGGCGCCCTTATGGGTCCTCACGTTTGCCCTCATCTGGCCCTCAAGTTTGCCATAATGTTTTTTAATCAATAATATTAATAATAAAAGTTAATTAATAATAAATAAGCTTAAGTTATGAATAAATAACATATTTATTTAATAATTATTCAATTTTAAATTAAATTCTTACTCAAATTGAATTTATTAATTAACGTTCTAATTAATTAACTGTCGGGTATAATTAAAAGTAATAATAAATTAATTAATTAAAAAATTAAAAAATATGTAATTAAAGCATACTATTAACGGATATTTTCATTTTTCAATTAATTCATACACAGAATTAATGATTAAACGCAAACCTGAGAAATAAATAAATCTAACGCATGGGGGGAATCGAACCTACGACCTACGGACTATGAGTCTAACGCTTTACCAACTACGCTACGCACGCTACTTCAAAACGAATGCTAACTTCTTGATGCTATTTAAACTTCAAAAATACCTAACAAAGAAAAGTGCTTAACATCATTTAGTTAAAGTTAAGATATTAAATTATATTTTCCAATCAAATGCAATTTATAAAATATAATTAATTATATGCTTTATGATTATTATCATCATGAATCATCTCAGGTGAATTTTCAAAAAAAGTGTAAATATATTTTTATTAAAAACGCGTTTTTCGTTGTTTTGAATCATTGGAAACATTCATTTTTTTGTTGACGAAAAAATATTTGAATTTTGGACTTAGAAAATTTTGCTAATCGATTATGAGGGCGATCCATGCGGGGCCCCTACGTTGCCCCTCATGGATTCGCCATATGGATCAGCCCTCATGGGCCCCCGCCGGGGGCCCCGAACTCTTGAGGGCAAGATCGTGGCTTTTTCCACACGGGAAGTTACATAAATAAATAAATGGGAACGTTCACAAATGATGTCACGCACTGAGAGGGAGGGGGGGGGTCTTTGCCAAACGTGACACAATGTATTTTTTCTATAAGAAAATATAATAAAATAGCGTGACAGGGGGGGGGTTAGGGGTAAAAAATTTTGAAAAAGTGCGTGACATCATTTGTGAACGTTCCCTTAAATAGGTCTTTACATTATATTTATAATATGTTAAGGGGAGATTACGGTGATTTTTATCAAAAAATCGTAATTTTAGTTTGTTCATTTTTGATTAGAGTAACTATTTAAGAATACGGTAAAATTAGTCTAAAGTATTTCCAAGGTCTAGAAATGACACAAATTGAGTAGCTACATGCAACAACTTGACCAGCGTGTGAACGCACGCGTATATATACTAGTCGGGCAGCAGTAAATGGCCCAGAGATACTCACTGCTACTTGACTGGCATTAGATCACTTAGGCCGTTTCCGAATTTGGATTTTTTTCGCACTTTTGATAAAGTGTATACTCGGGAAGTATGCAGTGTCCTTCATTTTGCGTGCCAAAAAAAGGACACTGCATACTTCCCGAGTATACACTTTATCAAAAGTGCGAAAAAAAATCCAAATTCGGAAACGGCCTTAAAAATGATCTTTTACAAGCCGAAGAAGGAACTATGTACGGAGCCGAAATCGCCAATTGAGTAAGAATCGCTTTTTTGTTTAATTTCAACTTAAAAAATTTTAAACGCGTATTTCTCGAAACTGCATATTTTCAACTTTGTTACACTTTTATTTTAAAATTATTCAACCAATTAACTTTAAATTTGGACAGTATGTTTTTTGAATGTGTAGTTTTCGTGTGAACTTGGATTTTTAAATTCCATTAATATTTTAAAAAGTTATAAACAATTTAAATTGTAAAATTTTTGTCGAAAAATTCAAAAGTTTTTTTTTTAATAAATATTTCTGTTTCTAGTTTACAGGATAGTCAAAATAGTATAGATTATGAAAAATTTTGGATTTTTCATTTCAAATTAACTGTTGAAGAGAAAAAGTGTGACAAACTTTTAGTGTGTACCACTTTCGGCAGCCTTTTCTCGGTAGTTTATTTAAAAAAATAAAAAAATAAAATTGTTTTCGACTCTTTCAGACATGTATTTTATTATAAAAAAATTGTAAGTAATAAATATTTTCTTTAGTACCTACCAAAAAAATCTTTGAAAAATATCTCAAAATCACCGTAATCTCCCCTTAATAATTATTAATCCTGTTTTTTTATCAGTAATTTTTAGTGACATTTATTTTGTCATTTTTTAAAAATTCTTCCTGTTAACAATTACCGGTATAGCAAAAAGAGGACATGAAAAAATGACAGATCTGGACATTAATTTCCTAAGGACTTTTTGATAAACGAATTTAGTAAGGGTTTACTTCTTGATATTAAATATAACAAACCTTGAATTTGTCATCACAGGCAGGATACAAAGAGATTTTTTCAGCAAACAGTTTCGAGCCTCGAACATATTTTTTTGGTCCTTCTTCTTTATTAAACCTCTTGTTTGGTTTATAACTTTATCACGTATGAATGCCAACGCTACATAACGGGTCACTTGATCTTTAACTCATGACACTATTTAAGCAAGGTACCACAGCCTCTTAAGGTGTTCGACTTATTGACATAATCCCAAACCAAAAAATTTGTTTTCAACTTATCACTAGTTAAATTCCTGTGTTTAAGTAATTTCAACCGAGAGTAAAGTTGACCTTCCTTTTAAAAATCTCAGTAATGAAAAAGACTAACGAAAGTTAGTAACTCTAATTCGAGAAAGATGAAAAGTACGTTGGATGAAATAGAAATACGATTTTTTAATAAAGCTTAAAGAAAGTAGCTCCAAATACAGTATTACAATTTAAAGAAAAAATTGTACAATGTTTTAAGTTACGGAGTAATATAAAGAAACTCACATATTCCATCGAGGCTAATCATTATAATAATTATTATGTTTATAAACAAATTTATATGCCTCAGTATTTTTGTTCTCTATAAAAATGTTAAGAAGTCAATTGTTATTCTTCTATTTTAAACATTTTCATGAATCATATTTCAGTTTGACATTACATCTACAGGTTGAACATCTCTAACAGATCGTAGTTTGAAACTTGCTAGATTCGCGTTAGTAACTTTCAGATGACTCTTTAATTGTTATACGCTAATGTAACACTCAATAAAAAAAGGTTCGATGAGATTTGTACATAATTAGCGAAGTTTGAATATTTTACTTAAGAAAACGTGAGTTCGTTTTTTCTTTAAAGAACGGCATTACATTAACGTATTCTAAAAGTCGTATTAATCTAATACAAAATTATGTTACATTGAGGTAACTTAAGGCCGTTTTATTTATATTAGAGGGACCCGAAATTGAAAATAAAGAGGTTGATTTACTTAAAAATGATGTGCGAAAATGACTTGTACTTTGAAAATTTGCTAACCGAACTTTCAGGTCCCTTATGTGTTTTAGCTTATTTTTCTTTTTTTCCATTTCACAGCACTAGAGCAGCGCTGCGTTTTCGAATTCCATATTTCGATTTTTGGCACTATGCAGAAAGAGCTTTTCTCGAAACTCAAATGTTCAAATTAGAAGCTTCATTGCCTCGTTGAATTTAAGAAAAGCATTATCTCGAGCACACGAGTACTCGTTGAATTTCCATAAAAGGTAACGGGAAACTTCTAGAATAACATATTTAACGAGGTCATTGATTTGCGTGACATTAATTTACACTTAATGATATTGATTTTTAAAATCGACAACATCTAACCTGAGAGAAAATACGAGTGTTTGGGAGTACAATTTTAAAAGACGAATTTCCAGCTTTCTCTGTTTATTCATCATTTTATAAAACAATCGTAGTAAAGTGTCCGCTCTACTGAGAAAGCTGTTTCGTTAAAAAATCAACAAAACATTCTCAGTTCTACCCCGAAGCGACAACAGCCTTGATTTCAATTATATATATTTCAATTATATATCTTTTAGTTTTGTTTTTCTTTTTTTTACAAAAAACTGTCGATCACTGGAATAGTAACAATTTATATTAAAAGTAAAAGCACTAGTAAGATTGACTTAAGAAAGTTTGTAGAAAAAAATTGATCCGTTCAGTAGACTCGACGAAGGCTTTATATGTAGCAAAACAGGTGTTTGACCTCTTAAGGCATAACTTACAGAATTTCTCAAGAAGTAGTTTTTGTTTTGTTATATCATGCCGACAATATAGTTAGAAAATCGCGATTTTGTAGAATAAAAAAATCTCGTATGTGCGAAGGCTTTTTCAATTTTTATTTTTCTTAAAGAAAAGTTGTCGCCGTATTTCTTATATAACAAACAACGTGTGTATGTGTGTTAATGTATGGATAATATGAGATTGGAAAATGCTTTTTCCCAGTCTATAATCACATACATTACTTAAAAACTTTAGTGTAAGTCTGGATAAATAGCATGTAAGTGGATGTTACTTTGTTAAAAAGTTATTTCTCTCCGCTGCTGAGTTTTCGCTGTTGTTGATATTGTTGGCTGTGTTCTGTGTTGACTCGTTCTCTTGATTTGTTTTTACCAATGGAAAGATATCAATTGGCTAAGCGGGTTGTTGGGTTGTAAACGGTTGGAACTGAACACAATTATTTGTCAAGGGCAGTGTTGGTTTTGATGGCGATAACAACCTCCTCCCCACAAGCTTTCAAAACGGTGCACTGGAAAATAAAAAAGTCATTGTTTACTTCTAAAGAAATAAAGTAGGGGAAGGTGGAGCTCAGAAACAGTCAATTGTTTTTAAACTTTGGGAATTTGTAGATCTCGATATTAACTGTTAAGATATTAAATTTCATCGAATTCTATATCTATTTAGTATTTTCAAGTTCCAAATAAAAGTTCTGTTAAACATGTGTTCTTTTATGTGAAAATTTTGTAATTCAAAACTTGTGCTTTATAAAAATTCAGTTAAGCATAAATTTTGTTTTTTGATTTAACAAAAAGTAACTTTAAACGTAAAAATTAGGGAAACTAAATTTTTTTTTGTTTTTTAATGTAGATAACATTTTGAAAAAATATTACCTAAAGAAATTCAATAAGTTTTAAAAAGTTTTTTTGTTATTGAAATTTAAGACTCGCGATTTTTTGGATTTTTAACTATTAAGAATTGTTCAGGGGGTGATGCGGAGTAAGAGAATTGTTCCTATTTTCTTATATGAAACCCGCAAGTTTGCAACTTCTAAATTTTTCCATTTTTAATTGCACGACACTTTCTTTCTATTCATTCTACATAAAATACACTGTTTTTAAGGACTTGGGCAAATTTAAATTTTGCAAAAACTACATGATCAAAAATTCTGAAAAAATCATAACTTAAAAATAAATTTGTAAAAAAGATTATTTTTTAACTAAACAATTAAAAAAAAAAAGAAATACTTTGCTTCCAGTAACTTTACTTCTTTTTATCAATAATTTTAAAAGATATCATACAATAAAGATAAATTTCTGAAATTATTAGTAATATATATTTAGAGGTAAGACCACTCAGCGGCGCCATATTCGAAAAATTAAAAATGGTACATGAGACATTTTTTTGCTCTTTTTTTGCTATTTTTAGCCGCCAAAAATAATTTTTTTGCTCAACGCCGCTAGCTTGCTGGCAACTCAGTGGTCAACTCTGATAAATTCATTTAATTCAAAATTTCCATTGGACCATATTTTTTAATTTTTTTTTGCTTTCAAATGGCACCCCAGTTGATTTTCAAAAATTAAAAATGGCGGAATTTCCATTAAGTCTATCAAATTCTCTTAAAAATTGTTACTCAGGGGTTTTTGGGGTCGCTGAATACGAATCTGATGTCACTTTTCAAAAATTTTAAAAAGCGAAACCAAAATAGAGGAATAATTTTTAAAAACGTCTAGATTTGATAACAAATAGTTACTCGGGAAAATATGGGTTCGATAATTACGTACTTTTTTTTTTGGTCCTAATAAACGACACTCCAAATTCCTAACTAACAAATTTCAAGCAAAATCTGTTAAATAGGAAAAAAAACGCCATCTTTCTTAACAACTTCGAAATTATTTTAAATTTTTTTGCTTATTTCGGTTTTTACTTTTAAAGTATTTTCTTAAAAACTTAGAAATTTTTTTGGTTTTTTTGCTGTTCAACTTTTAATTTTAAAGTATTTTCTTAACAACTTAAAAAAATCCAAAATGGTTTTTAAGTTGTTAAGAAAATACTTTAAAATTAAAACTGAGGAACAAAAAAATACAAAATGTTTTTAAGTTGTTACGAAAATACTCTAAAATTGAAAACCGGAGAGCAAAAATATCCGAAATGTTTTTAAGTTGTTATAAAAATAGTTTTAATTTAATAATCAGAGAGCAAAATAATCAAAAAAATTTCTATGTTTTTAAGAAAATACTTTAAAATTAAAAAACGAAATAAGCAAAAAAATTTTAAATAATTTCGAAGTTGTTAAGAAAGATGGCGTTTTTTTTCCTATTTAACAGATTTTGCTTGAAATTTGTTAGTTACGAATTTGGAGTGTCGTTTATTAGGACCAAAAAAAAAAGTTCGTAATTATCAAACCCATATTTTTCCCGAGTAACTATTTGTTATCAAATCTAGACGTTTTTAAAAATTATTCCTCTATTTTGGTTTCGCTTTTTAAAATTTTTGAAAAGTGCCATTTTAAAGCAAAAAAAAATAAAAAAATATGGTCCAATGGAAATTTTGAATTAAATGAATTTATCAGAGTTGACCACTGAGTTGCCAGCAAGCTAGCGGCGTCCTGGTATCTTGGAAGGGCGTTGAGCAAAAAAATTATTTTTGGCGGCTAAAAATAGCAAAAAAAGAGCAAAAAAATGTCTCTTGTACCATTTTTAATTTTTCGAATATGGCGCCGCTGAGTGGTCTTACCTTATATTTAGTTATCTACATATAGAAGTAGTTAGTTATCTGTTTAAGATTATAATCTAAAATCTCATTACTATTTGAAAGCCAAATATTTCGTTTCAGTTATAACTTTGTATACTTTTTCTACATTATTAATAGACTCTATTAATTTATAATTAAAGAATAGAAAAAGAAGATAAAATTTTGAAAATAATTACTTTACAAATTTTTTTAAATGATTAAACGAAACTTGGTAGCGTTCTTTAAAATTGATTTAGAACGATGCTGAAGAACGCAACGTTTATGATTACGATATTTAAAGAAATAATTTTTAAAAATAAAAAATTCTATAATTTTTTGCCTGAAAAATATTTTTGTAGTTTTTATTAATCGATAAATTATAAAAAAAAATTTAGATAATATTTTCCGTGTTAAATAAAAATTAATTTCTAATCGTTGATCATAAACGTTGCGTACTTCAGCATCGTGATTTAGACTGAATTTTGGCGAAGATTGAAAAGTATATGAATGAAATTAAGTTGTCAACTAACCAATAAGTCTTTTCCTCCGTCAAAATCAGTGCGTATCTGACTTCCTAACTCGCCGTCGGGAACTTTCAGATCCTCACGGATGTCTCCATTATCAGACATCAAAGTTAAGTAGCCATCGTCGGATATATCTGTTAGCTGAAAAAATAAATAAGATTTCTAAATTTAAATATTGCAAAATATATACAACTATAAGATTGATAAACTTTCCCCATGACCAAATTTTTAAAAAATCTAGTTTTAATATATGTGAAACTCGATGATTCCTTGAGTTCAATAACCGTAATATTATGGTAAAATTTTTATTACTTTTAAAAATATTAATTATCAAAAGAAGGAGGTTCACGATGTGATTTCGTAACCTTAAATATTTCAATTTTTTTAAAAACGCTATTATTAAAAAACTATTAAAAAATGGAGGTTAGAACTCACCAAAAACACTTTATTCTGTACACTTGAACGAAACAATTATTACAAAAATTTATTGTTTTCAAATAATATATAATTTTTAAAAAAATTTTCTGGAAAAAATTTCAAAATTCTTTCTTATTTTCAACTTTTTTGTCGGTGTTCAGAAAAAATTGTCGTTTTGCACATATATTTTTAATAATATTCTTTACCTTATATTAGATTAGACCTTATAAATTTCTGTGAGAACAATTTTTTATAATTTTACAACTAAAAAATGATTAAATAATAATTGAATAAATTTCGCGCGCCAATCTAAAGTTCAATCACTCAAACGCTAAAATGATCTTACCTGAGTTTTCTTTAATGTTCCAAAGGAATCCAACTGTAAGTGAAAGTTTAACTTATTTAATTTTAATAATTTACTAGTATAAACAATTGTGATTTCTGCTAGTTGACGTACAGACATTTACTCATTTAGTCCATGAATCACGTCAGCTGGTTATAGGAGAATTCTGCGTGCGCAATGTCGTCTGCACGTCAACTAGCAGAAATCACAATTGTTTATACTAGTAAATTATTAAAATTAAATAAGTTAAACTTGCATTTACAATTGGATTCCTTTGGAACATTAAAGAAAACACAGGTAAGATCATTTTAGCGTTTGAGTGATTGAACTTTAGATTGGCGCGCGAAATTTATTCAATTATTATTTAATCATTTTTTAGTTGTGAAATTATAAAAAATTGTTCTCAAAGAGATTTATTCCTCTTATTTTCCTTGATATTTTAAAAAAAGGAAGACCTCAATTCGACTATTGGAACAGAAAATATAGTAGTTTAAAATTTTTTGTTATTATTGCAAATCTCGTAAACTAACAAATATTTTAAGCTGCAATTTACGTTAAAGATTAGTCTTACTATGTATAACAAAATTCCAAAGTTTCATTGCAATCGGTTAACCTACTCCGAAAAAGTCAAAATCTCACCTGGAATCGCACAATTATATATTATTTGAAAATAATAAATTTTTGTAATAATTATTTCGTTCCTATGTGCAGAATAAAGTGTTTTATGTTTTTGGTGAGTTTCAACATTTAATTTTTAATAGTTTTTAATCTAAGACTGCAAAAAAAAAAAATTTTCGCTGCACATGTCTACATATAGAATTTTGTTAGTTTATCGCGAAAAAACAATTAAAGCAAAATTTGTTTAATGAAGTGAATTTAAAAATATTCTGCTCGTTAAAAAAATACAAAAATCAGTCTTAATTGACTACATTTAAACTTTTGCAAATCCAAATACTGGAAGGTAAAATTAAAAATTTAATAATAAAATTGATAGCACTCGTACAGGGTTGTTTGATATGTGACTCATCAATATTTTTTTTGTCAGAGTTGTTTAATGGTAAATTAGAAACTTAATAATTGTAACTTTCCAGAAAACTTCTTTGGACCTTAATGAACAACTTTTTCACTGGAAGTTTGTTGCTGGTGAAAATTTACGAAAATTCCTCACAGGGTGAAAATTGCAGTTCATGAATTTTGCAATGTCTAATTAAAAAATTAATAACTTTTTTATTTTTAATCAAAAAAACTTTTTTCTTTTTTAGTCACTCGTAGAATATAATAACACGTATTTTCGTTTTTGTTTCATTAAGAAATTCATAAAATTGTCTGAGCTGTCGCGAGTTGAAGTCAAAAAAACAATGAAAATTTTCTTTTTTAAAAAAACAGTTTTTCTCTTATATTTCAAAAACGGAAAAAGATGGAAAATTTCTTATTAAGAAAAAAAGATACGCAATCGAATTCTGTATAAGAATATACTCGAAAAATATTAAAATTTGAAAAATGAATTTTGAGTGTCCAGGGGACTTCGTTTTCAGGCCGAAAAAATTTACGTGCCCTTCTAGAATCCAGCGGCTCATTTTCTGTATTTAGAATTATTTTGGAAGTATTTAAATATAATTAACGTTTTTATTGAAATTTTGATGTCATAACTAATTTAAAAAGTTTACTGATGAAGCCTGGACGGTAATAGAGTCAATATAGTGGAAGAATACTGGTACATTTGAAATTTATTTCTAATAATTATATATTAATTCAATTTTTACATATTTATATTAACAAAGTATTTTTAATGTCAAAAGAAGATAAAAATTATACTTAATTTTTTTTGATATTATGTAAGAAAAAACATTTTATTAAACTTTTATGTCAGGCATTCTATTTCAAAACGATTCCCCTAGCAAACAATTGCCAGTATGAGCTAATTTTTAAATAATTATTTGTCCAACTTACTAAAATAAAATTGGGTCAATCCATTATATTTCGACTAAAGTCGTTGCTAACTAATTTTTAAAAATTATAATACTTTGCATGAATGATTTTGAAGTTATCAAGATCACGAAATGAAAAGAATTTTATTAAAAATTTAATTATTTATTGTAAAATATGAATTTAAAGTATGGTAGGTGCTGAAAACTATCAATTTACTAAGAATGAATAAATGTATGTATCAATTGGATATAATTATTTAAAGATGTGAAATAACATATAAAATATGATTTTCAAGGGCATCTGTCAACCTAATTTTGCGATTTTTATTCATTAATTATAAAAAATAGGAACCATTAAATTAAATAAAAACATACCAAATATGAAGTTCTTGTTATAAAATTTTACAATTTCTTTGCATTTTTCTTCTCTTCTTAAGTTTAAAAAATATAGCATCAGAAATACAAAAATTTTTAATCATCTTTATCTTCGAAAATAGCTTCGGGAATAACGTGAAATTTTTAGTGTATGTATATTTAGTGTCCATTTAAATAATTTTCGAAGACCCATATTTTTTTATTTTTCTCCAAGAAAGTTATTGATGTTCAAAAAAAGGGAAAGGAATAAAGTGGCTATTTTGGTTTTAAATTTTTTATACTTATGAAGAAGAGAGAAGAAAAGAGCAAAGAAATTCTAAAATTTTATAACAAGAACTTCATATTTGGTATGTTATTATTTAATTTAATGGTTCCTATTATTTATAATTAATGAATAAAAATCGCAAAATTAGGTAGACATATGCTCTTGAATATCATATTTTATATATTATTTCACATCTTTAAATAATTATATCACTTGATAATGATACATTTATTCATTCTTAGTAAATTTGAACATTTATTTTTTATTTTTATGATAAATTCTATGTTTTTTTTCATATTTTCTAATGGCTAAAAAATTAAGATTTCGGCTCTTTAAATTCATATTTTACAATAAATAATCAAATTTTTAATTAATAATTCTTTTCATTTCGTTGTCTTGATAACTTCAAAATCATTTCTGCAAAGTATTATAATTTTCTATAATTAGTCAGCAACGACTTTAGTTGAAATATAACGGATTGATCAAATTATTTTTTTCATTAGTAGTTTGAAAAGAGAAAATTATAAACTTTAGGTTGGTAAAAAGAATTTTTTAAAAAATTATGTAATTTTTATAAAAAATTTTGTTTGAAAATTAACAATTCAAATATCTTAAAACACGTTTCAAATGATCAAATCTATGTAAAAAAAGCTTAAATGTTCTAGTTTTTATTTCCGTAAAGTTTATAATGGACATTTCAAAGGATTTTGAAAAATTAATGAAAATTTACAATCATTCCAGAGGTTAAAATATATATGAATTGAAAATCACTTATTGAGCGGAGTGGCATTTGTTCTCATAAAACTTTATAATAGCAGAGAATGTTTGTTGGGTTTTTCAAAAATTTCATATAAGAAATGCTGCTCTGTTCAATAAATTATTCTCAAATCATACATATTTAACCTCTGAAATGTCCATTATAAACTTTACGGAAATAAAAACTAGAATATTTAAGTTTCCTTTTTACATAGATTTAATTAAAATCTGAAACAGCGTGTTTTGAGATATTTGAAATGTTAACTTTCAAAGTAAATTTTTTACATAAATTAAATAATTTAAAAAAAATTCTTCTTACCACCCTAAAGCTTACATTTTCCTGTTTAAAAAGTGCTAATAACAAAAGGAATTTGATTTTAGTAAGTAGCGGAAAGAATTATTTAAAAATTGTTTGCTAGTCTTGAACTTTTAACTAAAATTTGTTTAATTCTATTATTTCCGACTAACAAGCTATAAAAAATAAAAATTTCTACTTTTATAAAATTCAAAATTTTCATTGTAATTGAGTGAGAATGGAAGTAAAAGAGAAAAAAAGTTGACGAAACATTTTCAAAGACAGTAATTAATTATAAAACCTGATTCTTATGAATAATATATTGTATATTGCACAGAAATGATGTTTTGAGAAAAATTGAAATGGATTATCAGGGTTTGTTAACGTGTATCTTATTTACGGAGTAAAATTATTTTTGTCTGCCAATGATAAAGATATTACCTGATAATCTTCTCTTTTAACGAATGGCACATCCATATTGTGTGTGGAAGGGCAAATATCTTCGTATTTTTTGGAATTAAATATATCGATGCCTACGAGGTGGACCTTGGCGTGACCGTGTTTACCGGTCTTGGAAGTTGACATCTCGACAATCTTGCAAGGTCGAGATTTTAACATCACAAATCCATTTTTACGAAGTGCAGAACATTGCATGGGATACGTCACTGAGGCTCCGGAGTCTCCAGACTCAAAATGACTGTCGTCCATAACATCTGCCATCTTTGATTAAATAGATGAGCTATCACAAAATATAAACAATTATATCACTACATGAAAAATACTAATCATTAATATTCTTAAACTCAAATCATAAATTCAATACAATTTTACAAAGCACAATCTACTCATTTCTTATTTTACAATAAAAACAATCATATTCGATAAATGTTCAAAATCAATTAAATAATCAATTAATTAATATTTTTACGTGGTTAGCATACTTCTCAGATTGAAAAAAATATTGGAAATAAATAAAAACATAAAAATTGGAAATGCTAATTGGATGTCCAAGCCATATGTTGTTATCACCAAAAACATAAATTTATAAATAAAGTTAATCCACGCAAATAAAACATTTCAATGTAATATATATGTACATATATATATATATATATATATATATATATATATATATATATATTGCAAAATTTCGTACAAAATTTTCAACTTGGCAATTTCTGTTGAAATCCAACTTGAAATACAGGTGAGTAATTTGTTTTCACGGCACTACGAATTTGAGTAAACCAGTTAATAATAAATATTGGGAAAAAAAAGTTGAAAGTATGTGAGTAAAAGTGGTGAACCAACTTGCAAATACCGGGGTGAATAACCATGTGGCAGAGGAACAAGTTTTAAAGCTTGACATTATTAAATGTAAATGTGAAAAATATCTTAAAGAAACTGCTTAAAATTTTTTTTATTATTTTCGAGTCATAGAAAATAGAGAATATATGAGCTGCAAGGTGAAAAACACAAATCGGAGAAGCTAACCAAAGAATATGAAACGTAAGGTAGCGATTTTACGATAAAAACAATAAATCTACAACCGATTATAAAAAGTCTCCGACAAGAGAAAAGTAAACCGACAACGATTTTAGCACTATTTTTTGATATTCCCGTTGTTTGCAAAATAATTTAGGGAAAGTAAGGGCGAAGATGGCGCGAAAGAGCGTTAGCCACATTGCCAGCGGCCCGTTGTCAACTGTAAGGCACCCGAAATGTTGAATTATACATTTTATACAAAGAGGAACCAACACTTTTTTCGCCGATGCGAATCAGTCAAACTTGAGCTGTGCAATTAAAAGTGTTTTTACTCACGTTTAAGCAAATGATTACTAATAATTTTCACTAAAATTAAAGTCTCAATATACTCACATGTGATCAAAATGGATACTATAACCAGAAAAGATCCTGGTGCGACTGCGCAATACACTGATCATAAACGGGGTCTACTCAAGTGGAATCACGGGTTCTACCTTTTGGACAATTTAGGCCTAAGCACAATAACTTCGGGAATGAATCATTAGATAGAGAAAGACGAATATATTTTTGTCCTTTCTATCTTCAAGCTCTACGTTCAGAAGCGATTTTCCGAAATCTATTATGGCGCACTCACACCTTTTTTGGCTGCCTGCCTGCCTGCAGGTTACCATGGCAACGCACGAGTGTGAGTGAGACAGAAAATTTGAAAATTCAAATTTTTAAATTTTCTGTTGCACTCACTCTCATGCGTTGCCATGGTAACCTGCAGGCAGCCAAAAAGGTGTGAGAGCGCCTTTATGCATTAGCTTTAAAGTCAGTTCTACAATGGGCACGTTTGTACGTGAACGTGTACGTTCCGTGCTTACGTCACCCTTTTGCAGAACATTCTGACGCCAGTACGTACACGTTCACTTATAAACGTGCCCATTGTAGAACCGACTTTTGGGATGTGTCCACAATAGACCAAAAACATTAACGAGAACTTAACGTATCTATTTAAAATACATTGTGACGTTACGTATACGTATTCTGGACAGACCCTTGCAGAACATTGTGACCCCTCTCTCTCATTAGGTACACGTTCCCGTCCACGTCCGACGCGCTTATTGTAGAACCAACTTAAGGCTCCGTCCCATAAGGCTGCAGTCCCATGGCAGCGTTTTGCGTTGCGTTTTGTCACTAGACCCTGAGTGTAAACATAGCAAACATATATCTGCATCTCTTTTACACTCATGGTCTAGTGAAAAAACGCAACGCAAAACGCTGCCATGGGACTGCAGCATAAGGCTGCAGTCCCATGGCAGCGTTTTGCGTTGCGTTTTGTCACTAGACACTGAGTGTAAACATAGCAAACATATATCTGCATCTCTTTTACACTCATGGCCTAGTGACAAAACGCAACGCAAAACGCTGCCATGGGACTGCAGCCTTACAGCGTGAAACGCCGACGTGAAAGCGGAAAACATGCGAGAACGATAAAGATGAACATATCACACTATCTCTTTCGTTCTCATGGTTTCCGTTTTTACGTTGTCGTGGGACGGTGCATTAATGCTGATTCTACACTCACCTAAAAGTGCGCGAGCGGTCCGCATTTGCGTTACGTTTTTTATATATAGATATAGTTAAATATGGGAAGCGCCACGGAAAAGCCGACCGCTCGCTCAATTTTAGGTGAGTGTAGAATCAGCATAAAGACCTTTCTCCAATAGGTTCCTAAATGTTTGCGTTGCGTGACTGACGCATTGGTTTGCAAGCGCAATGACGTCATCAAAGCATTGATACCAATCGCGAACAAAAAGTTTGATTTATGATTTTAAGTCACTGAATTTTTTAAGTATAAATATTAAATAATTAAAATTATTAAATACCGTCGAGAAACATTTGCATTAAAAATTGTAAAGTTGGAAAACAGGGATAAGAGGAACATTAACCAAATTTTTTGTTCGCGATTAGTATCAATGCTTTGATGACGTCACTGTGCTTGGGAACCAACGCGTCAGTCACGCAACGCAAACATTTAGGAACATATTGGTGAAAGGCCTTTAGACAAGTGCCGTTTACGGAATTGCGCTCCATGAGCTGTCTTTTTGCTCGAATGTCTTTCGCGAAGCTATTCTGCTTAGACCTATTGTCCCCACTCGCCATTTGTCATAATTCTCGTCCACTACTGCATCCTGTTCTAGTAAAAATTTAGTGACTTTATTGTTGAAATTAAAAGTTACTAAATTTTTACTAGAGCAGGGTACGATAGTTGACAAGAATTATGACAAATGGCGAGTGGGGACAATGGATACCAACCTTATAAGGTACGGTCATACCTCGGTAGATAGCGAGGCTACCTGTCTATCATGTAATATAACGTATAAGAGTGAGAGAAATAAAAAATGTTCTTATTTCTCTCACTCTTATACGTTATATATTACATGATAGACAGGTAGCCTCGCTATTTACCGAGGTGTGACCGTACCCTAACGGTATACTCGTGGTCAGAATTGCGCTTATCGTCGTGCTCAAGGCCGACTGGGATGCCTAAGTCCTTAAGGACTATAACTCTCGATCTTAAAATAAGCATATCTACCCCCTAATGGAGCTTCTGCAATAGGTCCGAAAGTAAAGTGCAAGTACAAGTCCGAGCCACTCAGGCTTGGACTTGCCTCTCGGATCTATTGTAGAAGCTCCATAACGAAAGAACTACCGACATGTTGAAACGGCAGCGATTTGACAAGCCGCCTCGCTACCGATGCACCATGGGGAAAGAGGAGGGCAAAATTGCCGTTGTAAGGTCCTTAAGGTACGATCATACGACTTTTGGAAAAACCATTCTTGTCTTTCTCTCTCCTAAGACAGAGGCATAAGATTGTCTCACTCTGCATTTTCTTACATTTCCCAAAGACGGAAAATGCAGAGTGAGACAAACTTAGGCATTTGTAATAGGAGAGAGAAAGACAAGAATGGTTTTTCCAAAAGTCGTGTGACCGTACCCTTAAGAACCAAAACGGCGAAGAAGACCGGGTGCCCTTCCAGGAGGAGAAGGTTAGCATTGATTCCCTTCGCCCGTGCAAGTAGAACTTGAGCGGAAGAAGGGAATCAAAGCACCCAGCGGGGACCTCGTAGAGGTTACGTCTCCGAGCTAAGCTCCACCTACCGATGGTCTGGTAGGTCACACACACACTCATACAATAGGGTGCCCAATAGAATGGCGAAACGGTTAGTAACATTCATCTTGGACCCGATAACACCCCAACAGGAGTGGGCGTGAGTTAGCGAGGACAAGAATCCTGCACTTCCAACGGGGACCACGTGGAACATCCGCTCCCAGACCGAAGTGTCAGACCGCAGTCTGAAACCACAACGGTCTCACCCTGCCTCCGGATGAGGAGGCGTACTGCGTTCAAATTTCCCTCTTTAAGTCGGCTCTACAATCCATGGTACGCGACGCGAACGTGAACGCGACGTGCTGACGTCACCCATTTGATTAACATTGTGACGTCAGCGCGTCGCTTTCACGTCAAGCCCATTGTAGCACCGATTTCAGTCCCCTCATACGACACGCGATAGGGTACGGGAAGACAAGTTCTCCGACCGGACTTCCACGGCTACCTTGCACGGGGAAGGTCCCATTTCACATGGTGAACACTTGGCAGGCGTAGTGCGTTCATACATCATCGATAATGTCCCATCTCAGCGTCTCCGTCGAAGCGGTACTTAGCTAGATGGGTACAACCCTCCGCACCCCTTTTAAGACATGCAGTGGGCTACAGGCGCCCTATTCTAAAGCCGGGAGCGCCACGGCGATAAACACGTGGTCAGTTATGTCTACACTTTTTGTCCTTTCCTAACACACGTGTTGACATAACAACATGTGCGTTAGAAAGAAACAAAAAAGTGTAGGGCCGTTTCGGAATTGGGATTTTTAGCGCACTTCCGATGGGCCGTTTCCGAATTGGGTTTTTTAGCACATTTTTCATAAAGTGTGAACTCGGGGAGTATGCAGTGTCCTTTTTTCGCACGAAAAAACAAGCACAGACAAAAGTGCTCTAAAAATCTCAATTCGGAAACGGCCCTACAAATCTGCTCCCTTAGGTTGTTCAAGTTGGGTGGGGGGAAATCCAAAATGGCGATTATACGGAAGCTTCTACGCGAAACCAACTTATGCTCGTTTCATATTTATCATACAGAACATCGATGTTTCAATGTACTTGTCGTAAAGAACACACAAGTTGGTTCGACGGCTCCACTGAATTATATACTATATGGAACAGGCAGTCCTAGTCCAGGCTGTGAGAGGAAAACGGTTGTGAGAGAGACAATCCGCAGGTATCGTCCTCTTTCTCAGTTTTGTTAGTGCGCATGTGCAGAACGCGTCATCACATTGTACAGAGAGAGAAAACGATACCTGCGGATTGTCTGTCCTTTAAGCCGCGGTTAAGGTACGGTCATACGACTTTTGGAAAAACCATTCTTGTCTTTCTCTCTCCTAAGACAGAGGCATAAGATTGTCTCACTCTGCATTTTCTTACATTTCCCAAAGACGGAAAATGCAGAGTGAGACAAACTTATGCGTCTGTAATAGGAGAGAGAAAGACAAGAATGGTTTTTCCAAAACTCGTGTGACCGTACCCTTAGAGATGGACTGCCTGTTCCATACAGTATATATTTCAGTGGACGGCTCAGGTTGGAGTTACATGTTGATGTAAATGCAACAAAGGGTTAAAAGGTAAGTGACCATATTTTTTAATGATATAGTTAATTTTTATTTGTAAATGTATATTATTTATGACTTAAAACATTATTATTGTTTTTAATAATAAAGTAATTTATTTTATATACATTCTGAGGTTATGTTTCAGAAAGTGAGTATAAATTTATACAAATAAAAATTAATTATACCATTAAAAAAATATGGTCACTTAAGTGACCATATTGAAAATCCCCACATAGGTCCTATATAGGAAGCCATATGATTTCCTATACAAAATCGTATACGTAATTGGAACAGGAATTTGAATAGGAAATTAAGTAGGAATTATCCACGAAGTAGTATAAGGAGACGTAACGCCCATAGTAGATTGTGGTGAAAGTGAAGGTGCTTATATACCTCAAATTTCGATCAGATGAACATTATTTCTGGACCGTGAAAATGCGTGAAAAGTCATTTTCACGGCGGGTATTTTTGAATTGTTTTATACAAAAAATGTTTTTTTTAAGAAATATAATATTAAATAATTGTTTTAATATGTAAGAACACTTTAAAATAGTGATAGAGAGATGATTTGATTAAAAAATTTAGCAAATTTTGCTTTAAAACGTTTTCTGCTACAAGAAAGTGTAAAATGACGATGTTTGTGAAATGGTTTGTACAGTGCTTCTTCCTTGTTAGTGTCTCTCAGAGTTTTGTTTATGTTATGTCGGTTCTTTTTAACTTGTAATAAATAATGAGTGCTGAAAATAAATCGGTAAGTTGAAATGTTTATCAAATAAATTTAAATTCAACTAATTGTTTCGAATAACTGAAAGAAACATGTACACTGTACAAACCATTTCACAAACATCGTCATTTTACACTTTCTTGTAGCAGAAACGTTTTAAAGCAAAATTTGCTAAATTTTTCAATCAAATCATCTCTCTATCACTATTTTAAAGTGTTCTTACATATTAAAACAATTATTTAATATTATATTTCTTAAAAAAAATTTTTTGTTTAAAACAATTCAAAAATACCCGCCGTGAAAATGACTTTTCACGCATTTTCATAGTCCAGAAATAATGTTCATCTGATCGAAATTTGAGGTATATAAGCACCTTGAGCCCCAAAATCGTGTCCTAGAGTTTACGCATTTTTCTAATAATGCGATGAGGACGCCGCGCGTGGAGAAATAGAGAATTAAAATTTATCACGTGCTCGCATGTGCTGACAAATTGTCTTGAACCGGTGTTTCGCGCTTGCACTTTGTGCTTTGTTAATGTATATATAGAGAACTGAAAAAAAGATTATCTTTTTAAAACTAAATTAATAAATAAAAGAAAATTTTACTCTGATTAAGTCATTTTTATACTTTTTTATGTAACAGCACAGATAGCGAGGAATTAATAAAATTGTACAGTATACAAGTATTATAAGTACATTTGTTAGATAAAAAACGTTAATCTTTAACATTTATTTGATTATTCTAATTCATCAACAGCTTTTAATAATGAAATTAAGTCATCCACAGATTCGATTCTCACAAACTTTGAAAAAGGATGAATTTTTTTATTTATAATAATTTTAATACTTAAATCGCTATACAAAACAACTCTTTTTATTACACTCGCCTTATCATCATTCTCTAATTTCAAAAAAGCAAGGAAAGATTCATTTCCTTTAATGTAGCACCACTTTTCTGATGGCAATTCTATCATACTTAAATTGGTTTTGCAAGTTGTAAAATTGAATGTTGTAAAATCCATATTTGGCTTCAGCAACTACATTCTATATTTATTATTTTATTCTCCAAATATTTAATGAATAACCTAAAATAAAGTAATATTTATGATAAATGTTGTAATTTTAATCTTCAAAACATAAGTTATTTATTAAATTCTTAATGAAAAACGTACCTTTCATTTACTTTCACTAATATTTAATATTTCACAATATTTATTTTATTATTTATTTATTACACAATATTTTATCAAAACCACTTCGTGATCAAAACACTTTTGCTGTCAACTACAGTTGTTTACGCGATAGCAGACGACATATTTTGATTCCGATTTATCTCAGTAGAGGCGCTACAAGAGCATTATTCGAAAACCTTAGTAACTCTAGGACACGCATTTGGGGTTGCTTTGAATGCATGGCGTTACGTCTCCTTATACTACTTCGTGGAATTATCATATGAATGCACATTATAACTTAATATCATGCGCAGTAGTTTTCTTCAACTTTTTCGGCTGCGCAATAAATTTTTTTCATCTCTGTAGTCTATCAGGAACCTCTACTATTGAAAGATATATATCTTAAAGTTGAAAAAAAATTCATATTATAGGAATTGAAATAGGAATGTACATTCCTGTGTGGATGTGGATTCATATGATAATTCCGACTTAACTTCCTATTCAAATGCCTGTTCCAATTACGTATACGATTTTGTATGGGAAACCATATGGCTTCCTATATAGGGACCCATGTGGTTTCCCATATGGGAGCCTATGTGGGAATTTTCAGTGGGGTTACCTTTTAAGCCTTTGTTTATTTTTATTTTTTATAGAATATTTAAAGAAATAAAAACAAATATTTCTTTATAAAATCTGCAGTCTGTCCAGACATACACGTTGAAAACGTAACAGAACGTAAATGCTATGAAATACCAACAAATTGCAGGCACGCGTGCATGCATGTCGTCAATTCAACTCGATTTTGCTACATGTAGCCTACGTGTGTACGTGCCTTTGGGTGGCCCATAGGCGCTTCCGTAAAGAAGCACTGTACAAACCATTTCACAAACATCGTCATTTTACACTTCCTTGTAGCAGAAAACGTTTTAAGGGCAGGTCAAAGTCTAAGCAATTTTTACATAGAACTTCAAATGGGAAAATTGCATCGACTTTGACCTGCCCTTAAAGCAAAATTTGCTAAATTTTTCAATCAAATCATCTTTCTATCACTATTTTAAAGTGTTCTTACATATTAAAACAATTATTTAATATTATATTTCTTAAAAAAACATTTTTTGTTTAAAACAATTCAAAAATACCCGCCGTGAAAATGACTTTTCACGCATTTTCACGGTCCAGAAATAATGTTCATCTGATGAAAATTTGAGGTATAAAAGCACCTTAAGAAATGTACGGAATGAAGTCGAATGTTTTTAATATCTCCCTTAAATGAAATTTTGGAACCTAAGTGTATTAGGATTTTAGTTTCTATTTTTAATTATCTATTTAATGCAATAATAAAAAAAGATTTTATTTTTTAATAGATTTTATCATCGCATAAAATAGATAATTAAAAATAGAAACTAAAATCCTAATACACTTAGGTTCCAAAATTTAATTTAAGCGAGATATTAAAAAAATTCGACTTCATCCCGTACATTTCTTATGATTATGTGTGCACCGCTTAATCGCCATTTTGGATTTCCCCCCACCCAACTTGAACAACCTAATGTGACTGCACGACTGCACCTGTACACCGTATAACAATTGAGTCGATAATGAAGAAATTTACAATATCTGAAGTTGACAATATGAAGTAGTTGATATTAGCGCGTTCTGCAATTGGCAGAAAATTAGTTTCAATGTTTGGGTTAGTCGTTTGTGGTTATTTCACTTTGTTTTATCATATAAAAATGTAATAGTCAATTAGATCAGATTATGATTGCAACTACTCAAAGAATAATTTCGACAAATTTCTGTGAATAAATGTGAATCGCGTGTGTTTTAGTGTGAGTGCTAGTCGCAGACTCCAAAAGTGAAGATGTCTTCAAAGAGGTACTTAATTATTTTTACTCTCAATTTCCAAATGCGTTCACTCACATTCTTTAAAAGGAGTGCTAAAAAATTGACAATGTTAACATAACCATGATAATAGTTTGATGTCATTCTTTTTTTTCATTTCAATAACTACTTTATTCATATTCATTAAAATATCAATAAAAATATCACCTACGGCTGTTATAATGTTACTCAGAATTTTCACTCAATTTTCTTTTTTTTATATTTTTCACTTATCAATGATAACATGTTTTTATGTGTTTCTTTTGTCAACTGAATTTTCAAGGAATTAATGTTTCCAATATGTGATACCATCACCTTATTTTACAAAAGTTATGAGGAAACGTTATTTTCTATTAATTTACTGCTTTCATACTTGAGAATTCTAAAATAAATAAATTTTTATTTTTTAAGTACATATTCTATCATGCATCAACATAGGTTATTAATAGTTTGGGAGCAACAGCTTACGAATCAATAACCAATTTTCGAATGACAAAAATAGAATGTGTGATTTCATTTTATTTAGATTGAGGCAGATTCAGTTGCAGATACTAATTTTGAATAGAAAATAACGCAATAATATATGTTACATGTTTATTTTGTCTAATGTATTTGTGTTTATTTACAGCGAGTTAAAAAAGTTGTCAGAAGAAAGTCTAACAAGACAACCCGAAGAAGTTTTTGACATTATCTGTAAACTTGGCGAGGGGTAGGTTAACTTTAAAATGGATATTGTCTGCTTCTTACTTGTAATTATTGAATAATTTTGAGTTTGCTTTTTTGTCAGATCTTATGGCTCCGTGTATAAAGCACTCCACAAAGAGAGTGGACAGGTACTCGCAATAAAACAAGTACCAGTCGACACAGACTTGCAGGAAATCATTAAAGAAATTTCTATAATGCAACAATGTGACTCCCCTTACGTTGTAAAATATTATGGAAGCTACTTCAAAAACACAGATTTATGGGTTTGTAAACTTTTCACTTTAATCAAATTCAATAATTATGAGTTGAAATTCAAAAAACAATAAGCAAATCCAATTACGTATTAATTATGGGGTCAATCCATTACATTCCGACTAATTTAAAAAAATTATAATACCTTGTAGAAATGAATTATTGTAAAATATAAATTTAAAGTATATGAGGTGCTGGAAACATACAGTTTACTACAAAAGTGTAAAAAGTGTATTAACAGTGACTACATTTATTATCACAAATTGATAAAAGTATTTCAAGTTGATTCAACATTATTACTTTATATTCTGTAAGTTTTTATTTCATTTAATTATTTTACTTTCTCATAATTTATGGATAAAAATCACTAAATTATATACCGATACTTTCATGTAAAACTAAACACTCTTTTAATTATATCTGTTTCATTTTATCTTACTATGTAAGTAAAAAGTTAAAATTGATATTTTAGGACTGGTTTCACTTATTAGTTTAAAATTTTCTTCAGTGTTTGAGAATAAGGTTTCAATTTTTTTTCAGCTGCTTTGCCAATAAATTTAAGGGCTGTGTTTTGGTGTGGGTAAAAAGTTGTTTTCGAACAGTGAGATATTTTAGATTGTTTTTATTACCCCATGCTTTAACGGTTGAAGGGAATGAGTCGAATGTGGGCTCATTTGAAAGATCATGATTTTAGTTTTAATTCTGATAACAGCAAAGTTTTTATCTCTTCAGAGGATTTTGCCTCACGAGTTTTCAAAATGTGCCAAAAACGTTGTTTTTAGAGGTTTCAACCCCATTTTTCTCAAAAACTTAACGTGATGGAGCATTTTGGACACCAGATTCGTATTCAGCATAAAATTCCCTTCGGAAACACCTAGTTGCATTCATTTTACCGATAAATATTTAAATTTGCATGCCTGTGTTATTTATTTAAAAATCTTTATGTAACTTTAAAATTATCAAAAAAACTTAGAGAATATTTGAAAACGAATGAATTCACCTATTATTGAACCTTTTTGCTTCCTCGTGGAGGAAGCTTTGTACTCCTTTCGTTTATAAAATTTTTAAAAATGGTGAAAACAAATTTTCCTCTATATAGAAACATGTTATATGTGATCCTGATCAATTGTCCGGATGTATGTGTGTGGATCGTTTTTGTGAACACGATATCTTTAACAGGTTTCAATGGATTTGAATAAAATTTGGTAGGCTTATTTAAAACATTAATCTCTCAAAAATGACGAAAGGATTTTTAAAAATACCCCAAAAAAAAAATTTTATCGTCTTTTTTCCATAAATTTCTTTTTAATTGAAAAAATTTAAGGTAATATATAATATAATCGTTTTCCTTACGTCAAGATGAATCGATTGATATAAATATAAAGTATAGATTTGATTGAAATTTAAAGAATTAATGAAAGTTAAAAAATCAAAAATTCACATTTTAGCTAAAAAATGTTGTGTTTATTTAAATTCATGTTTATATATGAAATAATTTTATTCCCTGCATTGAAACGAATTGGTTGGCATATATAAAGTATAGATTTGATTTAAAATTGAGCGGCCGGGAAGAAGAATTCGCCGAGCGCTCGGCTGGCTTCTATGTTGACAGTCAAACACCCAAAAATGCAGATAAAATTAAAATTCGATATTTTGATTTTTGAAAAGTACTACCTTGTAGGAAATAAAGAGGCGCATCTTTTTTTGCTTTGGATTTTTCTTGTCAAACGAATAGTTTAATTAATAATTTAAAAAAACTGATAAATTTTAATTTTCAAATTTCATTCAATTTTTAAACATAAATCGTCGTATCTTTGTCAAATCTTAATTAATTTGATTTTGAATTTTGCATACACACGCATTTTATTAAAAAAGTTCAATTGTTGAACACACACTTACCTTTGTCGACCAAAAGTCTGCGGGGAAGTTCAAAGTTGAAAAAACATCCAGTGAGACATTTGCGAATAACAACATAATGAAGTTTTCTGGAAAGTGTTAAACTAATTCATTCATTAGTTTAAAAAATATTGAAGATTCAAGATTCACACGTGGCGCGCTAGCGAGTCGCCGAACAGATAAAATCGCTAATCGATGCACTCAATAAAAGATGATTAGATTCTTACAAATTTTTCTTGTACATTATTATTATAAATTAATAACTTTAAATTATATAATTATTAAATAAATTTATTGTTTAAAAATTAAATTAATTAATTAAATTAATTTAAAAATTAAACAATTGAATTTATTCTTTCCGTGTTAAACTTATTTTATGTAAAAGTTCATAAATTTTTTTCATAAAAATAGGAATAAAATGTTTTATTTTAACACTGAAACACAATTTTTATTTATTATTAATAGTTTGTATTAATTATTTAAAAATAAATTGGACAAAGATACGACGATTTATGTTTAAAAATTGAAAGAAATTTGAAAATTAAAATTTATCAGTTTTTTTTAATTATTAATTAAACTATTCGTTTGACAAGAAAAATCGAAAGGAAAAAAAGATGCGCCTCTTTATTTCCTACAATGTAGTACTTTTCAAAAATCAAAATTTCGAATTTTAATTTTATCTGCATTTTTGGGTGTTTGACTGTCAACATAGAGGCCAGCCGACCCCCTCCTTGTTTATAAAATATTACGAAGTTATTGATGTTAAAAATCTATCTCTCCAAACATCCAGAAACAACAACTTAACACTTTTTTTAAAATTATACTAAAATTACTATTTATTATACTAATTAGTAATTACCTACACAAGCCTGCAAAAAAAAAGTTTCCGTTGTCAGAGATCAAGAAGTCATTTCCCGTAGTTTTTGGTGCGCTGAATCCTAATCTGACAAAGAAAACCTCCCATCACGTCAGGATTTCGGGAAAAGTGGGGGTAAAAGTCCCAAAAATTAAGTTTTTGGCAGTTTTTGAAAATTTCTACCGGGTAAATCCGACGTGCTAGAGACTTGGCATATGAATCAAATTAAAGCCTGAACCCCGTACTTTACGACGATATAGCGATATTGACAACAACAAAATAAATTAGCTGCGAAACATGGATTCGCTTGGAATTTGTCACTCGGGGGTTTTCGGGGTCGCGGATTACGGATAGGATGTCAGTTTTTTAAAATTAAAAATGGCGGATCCAATATGTCGGAATGAATCGATTTTGAAAAAAGCCGTCCGCCATATTGGATCCGCCATTTTGAATATCTGACATCATATCCGTAATCCGCGACCCCGAAAACCCCCGAGTGACAAATTCCAAGCGAATCCAAGTATTTTTTTAAATAGTTGTATTTACGAACAGTTGTGAGTCAATTTTTATGCTTGTCAACTTAAAAAAAACCATTTTTGACAGCTAATTTATTTTGTTGTTGTCAATATCGTCGTAAAATTCAGGGTTCAAGCTTTAATTTTATTCATATGCCAAGTCTCTAGCACGTCGGATTTACCCTGTAGAAATTTTCAAAAACTGCCAAAAACGTGATTTTTGGGATATTTACTCCCACTTTTCTCAAAATCCTGACGTGATGGGAGGTTTTCGTTGTCAGATTAGGATTCAGCGCACCAAAAGTTACGGGAAATGACTTCTTGATCTCTGAAAACGGAAATTTTGTTTTTTTTGCAGGCTTGTGTTATACTAAAAAAGTTGGCAGCGGTTTTTTTATTTATTTTCTACACAATAGTATATAATGCATCAAGGGTGGGAACTCCGAGTTTATTGACGAGCACAATGTTTTCGAACAAGCGGCTGCACAAGCTTTTTCTTCCATGTCCGAGTATTTTTAAGGTTGCGTACACCGTAGATGTACCGACGGAACCCTTATGGAAAGACTCGTGCGTCCGTTCCAGAAAAGGTGTCCCCCCCCCCTTAAATTCTACAATTGTGAATCTGGTGAGCTGCAATTCAGTACACATACGTATTTTTAGGAGTAGATTACAGGAAAAATATAGCGAACCCGAACGAAAGTCACGATTACGAGCCAGAGAGGAAAGAATTTGATTTTTTTCGAAAAAATTGCGAGAAATGACCATGTTCCCCCCTTAACTTCTATATTTTTAAATCTTATCAGCTGAAATTCTGTACACTTACGCATTTTTACGTGTAGATTACAGGAAAAATATAGCGAACCCGATTGGAAGTCACGGTTAGGAACTAGAAAGGAAAGAAATTGGTTTTTTTCGAAAAAATTGCAAAAAATGACCATGTCTAGAACCCTCGATTTAGTGCGAGTTTCACTCGCACTTGTCTGATTTTTTTTCCCTCTGACGACAGTTAACCTAAAGATTTTGAGTTACAACCCGCTTCGCACGCACAAAAACACAAGTGTTTTGAGCATGTGGTAAAAGTCTTGTGTATTTCTTAAATATCTAATTAAAAAGTTTTTCATACCTTATAGATTGTCATGGAGTATTGCGGAGCAGGATCCGTAAGTGATATTATGAGGTTAAGAAAAAAAACTCTTCAGGAAGACGAAATCGCTACAATTCTTTGTGATACACTCAAGGGTCTCGAATATCTTCACCTTAGACGAAAAATTCACAGGGACATTAAGGCTGGAAACATTTTGCTCAATAACGAAGGACACGCAAAGTTAGCCGACTTTGGCGTTGCTGGTCAATTAACGGTAATTATACTTTACATGTATCTAGCGACATTTTCCTGACACTTAAGGGTGTAGAAGCCAGTTTACCCTAATTTGCAGTATATTTTGTAACCGACAGATTTTGGCGTGAAAAATAACTTAAGGGGACTTTCTGGTTTAGAATTCCAAAAAAATAGATTTTTTTGCTTGAAAATGTTCCTTAGTATCATAAAATTACTATCCAAAAACGTATTTTAAACAATATGTAAAAAAACCAAAGATCATTCGATTCCTTATGGTTGAATTTTGAATTTATATATTACTGGTTGCCCGGAATCAAGTGCACTAAAAATAGGTACTTTTTGGAAGTCGCCACCTACAGCTACAAAAAACAGCTAAATACACTCAAACATTTTTTTTAAATTTTCTCTACGTAATGTGCAACAATGTCTAAAAAGAATTTTTGCAATTTCTTTAATAGTTTTCTTAGAATAAAAGTTTTAAAACGTGTCTTTTTTGTCAATTCTAAACCAGAAAGTTCCCTCAATTGAGTAGCTGCCTGCAATAACTCGCCGAGCGCTTGGCCGATCGCTCTAACGCCAGTCAAACGTTCAAAAACGTGAAAAAAATGAAAAATCAAAATTTTTATTTTTGAAAAGTGCAATCTTGTAGGACATAAGATGGCGCATCTTTTTTCCTTTGAGTTTTTTTTGTAGATCAAAAAATAGAGTTAATATATGCAAAACACTTCAAAATTTTATTTCACAAATTTCATTCAATTTTTAAACATAAATCATAGTATCTTTGACAAATTTCAATGAATCTTATTGAAAATTAATATACATACGTATTTAGGTCCATAGAAGACGACAACATAATCAAAAATATTAAAATCATCAATTGTTTATTTATAATTAATTGTAAATGAAGACTTGTCAATAATAATGTTTACTTACCTTTGTCGACATAAAGTGTGTGGGGAACTTCAGAGTTGAAGAAACTTCCAGTGAGACATTTGTTTATCATAATGTAAGGAAGCTTTTTGTAAAATTGAAAAACAATTTATCAACAACTTTAGAAAATATAGAACGTTTAAGAAAACATGCGCGACGCGCTAGCGAGTCTCCGCGCGAAGAATTGCAAACAAGAGTTGTAGAGGACCGAAAATACAGAAACAAATATTGTCACTACATTCTTAGAAATGATTTTCAAATAAAATATGTGTTAATTTTATGAAAATGCAAATTAAATTTGAACAACTGTTTTTTTAATATTTACTTAATAATCAATAGTTTTAAAATATTTTGGTGCTTGTATGTACTGTTTGTGCAGTTTGCAAATAAGTTTTTTAATAATTAATATTATGGTATATCTTTATTTTCTGTTTCTTCATTTTTTTAAGAAATTAGTGTATTGTTACATATCAACAGTGATAGTATGTTGGCTCCATTTTCAAAACATAATATATCACAACATAACATAACGTCCTTCTTAACTCTTGTGTGCAATTCTCCGCGCGGAGACTCGCTAGCGCGTCGCGCATGTTTTCTTAAACGTTCTATATTTTCTAAAGTTGTTGATAAATTGTTTTTCAATTTTACAAAAAACTTCCTTACATTATGATAAACAAATGTCTCACTGGAAGTTTCTTCAACTCTGAAGTTCCCCACACACTTTATGTCGACAAAGGTAAGTAAACATTATTATTGACAAGTCTTCATTTACAATTAATTATAAATAAACAATTGATGATTTTAATATTTTTGATTATGTTGTCGTCTTCTATGGACCTAAATACGTATGTATATTAATTTTCAATAAGATTCATTGAAATTTGTCAAAGATACTATGATTTATGTTTAAAAATTGAATGAAATTTGTGAAATAAAATTTTGAAGTGTTTTGCATATATTAACTCTATTTTTTGATCTACAAAAAAAACTCAAAGGAAAAAAGATGCGCCATCTTATGTCCTACAAGATTGCACTTTTCAAAAATCAAAATTTTGATTTTTCATTTTTTTCACGTTTTTGAACGTTTGACTGGCGTTAGAGCGATCGGCCAAGCGCTCGGCGAGTTATTGCAGGCAGCTACTCAATTGATGTCATCTTTTTCGCGAATGTAAGATACGTCGATTGATATACTTGCCAACTTTTTTATATTTTAAATTTAAGTTAGATAAAAGATTTAATATTTCACAGGATTAATACCCCGATTAATTTTTAATATTAGTTATTGACTTAAATCTCTATGAGGAAGCAAAGTGTTGATGAAATGACTACAAAACATATATAAATCTATGAGAAAGCAATATGTAGGGGAGAATGTGGAGTCATGCAACACGTTAATATTTTATAATAGCAATTAATGTGACAAATTTCAATTATTGTCAAATTCTTTTCTCGTTTAGAACTAACATTTTAAGTGGTACCCGTCATGTTTGCAAGCATTCTTCGTGTCTTTCCCATTATCTATGAATAATTCGAATGTTTTATGCAATTTAAATATTGTTCTTTAGTGAGATGAGACTTTTTGTCTTACATACGCGCGTAAAATGCAATTTCCAAGACCTGTAATGTTTTTCGTCAATTTTGAACGGTGTTGCACAACTCCGCACATTTTTTGAAAAATGGTAAACGCAGTATTTTCGAAAAACTTGCAAAATTTATATTATATATAATAGTTAAAAAAATAATTTTTATAATAGTTTTGATCCAAAAACAAAACCCGTTGCACAACTTCCCATTCTCCTCTCTACGCCTAATATCATCAGTACTATAACTTGACAGCGGTTTTTATCCTTAAAATCACTCCAACCTTCTGAAAAACATATTTATAATAGTTTTTTAAAATGTTTTTTAATAGTATGTATTATACAAAAAATTACACGGTTCCAATTTTCTTTCAGAGTAGTACGTAATCATTCTACATACGTTTGTAATTTAAACTTTTTCATTGAATATTGATTGTGATTAACTCCATTTTCAATCAAGTTTTCCCTTTTCAGAATCATCATTTTGATCAATTGAAACCAATCAGAAAATGATTAAAATCAGAATCTTTCGATTATTCTAACACTAGTCGTTTGTGATTCTAGATCCTTCAAATTACATAAATTAACCAGATTCTTGAAAAATTATTTATTATTTTAGAAAATTGCCTATAGTCGGAACAAAGGAATAAATTTAAAAAAAATCATTATTTCAAATTGGATGTTTTGTCTCGTTTTTCTCCACATTTACGCGCATCATTTACATGTTTGTTTTTGAGAAAAATTGTCATATAAAAAGCAGTGACGGTTCTACAAGTGATAAATTCACTTAAGAAGAATATATACTAGTTTCCCGAAAAGAAGGTAATATTCCCGTCACCCGAAAGTATTTTCTATATTTACCTCTGATAGAATGATGTGTACAAAAATTTTGTATAATTACTGTAGTTTTTTAATAACACATGTAAATAAAAACATTATAAATGTATTATAAATTGGTTAATATAGGACACAATGGCTAAACGAAATACCGTGATCGGTACACCATTTTGGATGGCGCCCGAAGTCATTCAAGAAATAGGTTATGACTGTGTGGCGGACATTTGGTCTCTTGGAATAACGGCGCTTGAAATGGCAGAGGGAAAACCACCGTACGGGGATATTCATCCGATGAGAGCAATTTTCATGATCCCTACGAAACCACCTCCCAGCTTTAGAGAACCTGATCAGTGGAGTCCAGAGTTTATAGATTTTGTGAGTGGGTGCCTTGTTAAAAACCCGGAAGAAAGAGCCACTGCCACTGAGTTATTGCACCATGAATTCATAGGTAGAGATCACTTTCACAAGTCAGAACTGCTGTGACCTATTTTCGAGACTTCATTTCTGATTAAGTTTTTGTTTTTTGAAGGCAATGCTAAACAACCAAGTATTCTCAGTCAAATGATCGCAGATGCGCATGAGATGAGAGAAAAACAAAGTGCACATAGAGCACATGTGATTAATAACGTGGCAATCAAGAGTCAACAAAACACAGAAGACTCGGTAAACATTTTTTATTTATTTAGCCCAGACCAGAGCAATTGTGTCGAATTTTCACTCACTTAAATTTCATGCTCTAATCTTTTGATATTTCCGTTCATGCACCTTGAATTAGTTTTCTTATATATTAACTTCTTGCAAAATATTTCCTCAGGACGAGGATGACTGCACAGGAACAATGAGACCTCTTCCAGAAGATTCAGGAACTCTAGTACCTTCCCACGATCTTCCGGACACAGGAACACTGGTTTCAGGGATTTTGGATCTGGGTACGATGGTTATTAACAGCGACACAGATACAGAAGCAACGATGAAAAGTTAGTTTATTAACTTGATAATTAATTCATGACAATTACACTCTATTTTTAACTCTTTAACGGCCAGCGGTACATATATGAACGATTCCACGTCAAGTGACCAAGTTCAAAATTTCAAATATCTAACATAAATAAACAACTTTAAATACCAAAGATTATTAATTTACTTTAAAAAAATGTAAGATTTGGACGGGGTAAAAGTTTCAAGCCTTTGTGTAACATGGCATATTTTAATAAGCAGTAGTTCCTTTAAAACGAACCAAACAAATTTCTTAAAATTGAAAAACGACACTTTGGAAATCAAACAAATAATCATAATAATATTTAAAAAAAGATTAATGAAAAAGAAAACAATTGAGATCCGTTAGTAATTTGAAAAAATAAAAAATAAATTTTTTAACGTTTTGGTCTAATGAGTTCTTGTCAATGAAGATAAATGACGAGCGAAACCAAGATGATGTTCAATAAAATATTTGTTTTCTTTATTAAAGAACATTAACAATTGTTTTAGAAAAGTAATTTGCTAAAAATTATACTTACACAGCCTGCGGGAAGAAACTCAGCCGTTAAAGGGTTAAATGATTATATTATTTCTTTCTAGTTCGTTTAATAAACAATATTGAAACACTTAAATTCGCTTCTTCAGGGCATAATACTGGTTCAGTTGAATCGGGAAAGAAATATCGGCCATTATTTTTGGATCACTTCGATACAAAAGAAGCACCAGAAATAGGAAAGGTAAATTTTTCTGTATGAAATTACTTTATTTGAAGTAATATAATTGTGAAATTTCTTTCAGGGGAATGGACAGATATTAGGAATGCATAATCCTGAAGTAGAGAATAAATTAGATTTACAGAATCCAATAGAATCTCAAAGGTTTCAAAATAATTTACAGTTGCAACTTAATCAAATTTCGCATCCAGTGCCAGAACCGCCTCATAATAACATATCTAAATTTCAAAATGCTTTCACGGAAAGGGATTTCGATTTTGTAAGTATTATCTTTCTTTCTTTAATCAAATAGCACGACTTACTTTAATGGATAAATATTTCCTAAAATTTTTTTGCGAATTTTTAGTAGATCGAAATTTTTGATAAAATAATCTTATCGTTCTTAATGACTGAATCAGAACGTCGTTAAATTTAAAAGAAAATTATAATATTTTCAAGTATAGGGAGTTCATAGGGATGGAGTTGAATCCGAAAAAGATTTACAAAGTAGCCTACTACTTAGTACGCGTGCGTTTTATTCTCGGTCGATTGCTATCTCTTCCTTGAATCCATATTTCTCCGCTTACGGAAACCACTAACTCGCATTCATGTTGAAAATCACGGTACAAGATTTTGACCATTTTCTTGTACAAGTTTAGTAGCTGAACTCCTACCATATCAGTTCTGCCGTCCGATTTAAAAGAGACACTATCTACATTTAAACTCAAACAGAGATATTAAAGAAAACGCGTTTGTATCTGGATCTGAGAATAAAATAAATAATTTTGAAATTAAGCTTATTGTTCTTAACTAAACGGGGTTGCTACGCATTTTGGAAAGAAGGTCAGATTAAGGAGAAAAAAATACTGTGAAGAGCTCAATACTATTTTAAAGTTCGCGCAATTTTCTTTCATTTTTATTCTGCCTCTTTCGAGGGAAGTCGTTGTATTTCGGGGAAAAGGAGCCAAAAGGTGCGATAAGGCATGGGTATCGCTGGACAGTGAGAAGGGATTGAAGGGTGGGGTGTCGAGTTCGCGGAAACAATAAAAGTAATCTTCGCACATGTCCCGCTCTCACTTTTTCCGGTTGATTTCAAAGCGACGTCTTTGCGGGTCGACGACAGCCCAAAGCTAAAATTCAAATTCTATATTAAATATATTAAATTATTAATTAAAATTGTCTCAAATACTTTATATTAAATTTGCGATATTTTTTTCTTTATATTTTTTAAAATAGTGGCGCTTTTTGGTGGTGCTTCCGTTTTTGGGATACGAGAGCGATACATGTGCGGAGGTCTTGGGATTAATCAAAAATTTTTTCTGAATTTGGGCCCTTTGACAATAGAGGAATTTTTGTGTTCAAAATATTGAGATATTCTGGATTGTGATATAATATATAATTGCTCATTGACAAATAATCCAGCGATACTCATCTGATATTGAGACCAGTTTCCAAACGACGCCTTCATCCCACAACGCAGTTAAATAATCACCGACTGGATAAGTTTTTATCATTTTTTTTAGTGATGCACGACAATACGAGAAAATCATTAACCTCGGTTAAAACTGTCAATGTTCGATTATTATTTTTAGACGATCATCTCGCGTTTTCATTTGTTAATTCTCGGATTGGATCGTCTCAAAATCCTACCGAGAACAAGCAAACTTCTCGAAAATGTCAAAAATAGGGTGCTAATTTTTTTAAATTAAATTTTTTCATTTTAACAAATCAAGTATGTAAATTTATTTACACATTTCTCCTAAAGAATTTTTTTTATTTTTGCGTAGATATTTCAACTAGTTAATAAAAATTGTAATAGCAAAATAAACATAAATTTACTTATCTCATAATAATTATTAAATTTGTTTGCAAATTTTATAGTTATTGAGGAGTATTTTTATTTCTTATGTAATTTATTAAAACAATTTAAATTTTATTAATTTTTAAGTATTCCTGTTTATAATAAATGTTAACATTTAAATTTAAAAGTTAGAATATTCCTCGAATTCAAAGCAAAAGGGTAATTTATTTGTATAATTTTTTTGAAATCAAACAATTTTTTTAAACAAAACTAATTAACCGGTATTTCTTTCAATTGTATATTTTTTCACAATTAAACTTTTTTGAAAATTTGCATATTCGACATAACCTTATAAGGCTACACAATTTTTCATATTTTCCCGATAATATATAGGCTTTTCTGAACAAATTGTTTTTCCTCAGTAAAATATAATATCTCAAAATGGATTTCTTGGTTTATTTTTCAAATGACCACCAGATTTTTTAAAAAAGTTTTTTTTGATTCCTATAAAAACATGAAATTGATGCTTGACATTTTTTTGATAAACGTTTCTCGGATCGTGTCGCTCGAATGAATCACTAATTTTTTTTATATACTTCAATACAATCTTTTTTCATTTTTTATATCAGTTTTGATCCACTCATCCTCCCTTATAATTGAGGATCATCTTCATACAATTTCTTATCTTATTTTTTGAAACATCTAATATTTTTTGAGTTATCAATATAGTTTTAATTTAATTTTATTTATTATTTGTACGGAAATCTAGGACAACTTTAAACAATTATAATTTGATTGAATGAATGGATGAGTGAGACAAGATATTTTAAAGTTTAATTTTTGTATGTATTTATGATTGTCATTCGATTGTTTTATATTGACTGATTCAAATATATCATTTATCTAATTCATTCGCATATTGTCATATTTTTTTTATTATTTAAATTTATATTAAAATTTCTATTCTTAATCAATTTTCAAATAACTGTTAATTTTTATTATTTCAATCGGGTTAAGGAGAAAAAAATACTGAAAACCCTCAAAAACACGTTTTTTGGAGACTCTACCCCCATTTTACTTAAAATCCTGACGTGATCACAACAATCAATTTTTCTCGGCATTTCAAGTGGCGGTGATTTGGTTGGCGATACCGGAATTGGTTTATCAACATTTACACCGCCAATAGTCACTGTTGGTTTAATTTTTTTTTATCATCCTCACCTTCTCGGTGGAATTTTTTCTTGGGTTTTCATTATTGTTACCGTTGACAAATTCTGTTGACTTGAATTATTTAACATTTTTACTGTCGTCGTCGATATTTATGATTTTGCAGTATAATTTGAAATTGTTGTTTTATTATTTTTATTTTTCAATAATTTATCGTCCAATTATCATGTAGATAGCTGATGGCAGATCTTTTAAATCGGATGACAAAGTTCTGGTCAGTTCCTGTACAAAAAATTATACATGTACAATTTTTTGAGTTAAATAAGATTGTACATGTTCATATACATGTCATTTGTGAAAAATTGTACACATTTTAGAAAAGTATAAGCTGTAATTAATGGGACTATCTCTAATTACACATGCTACGTCTTTAAAGTTTTCATTTTTAATATTACACAGAGATGCATAAACATACACAAGAACATGAACGTGTTCATAAAGTGAACGTTTTCGACAAACAATAATTAATTTAATTTATGAATAAGTACATTATCAGACGTGTTTTAAGAAAATGTACATGAACCAAAACTGGTAGGAGTTAAGCCACAGGGATAACACATGTTATTGTATTCTGATTTGGTTCGCCGTTAGGACATTCCTTTATTTGGTTGAATAATTCTCCTGACACGAGAACTCCATGCTTAAGATAGGATTAAATAAATTTTAATAGTTTATTTTTGGTATTGTTTGAATAAGCAACCTAGTTCACGAAACTGGATAAGAACATATATTTTTTTAACATTTTTATTTATCTTTATAAACAAAATCATGGATTTGATCCACTAGAAGTTCGGCATACACTGGGACTTGAAAGAAAGATTTGTTCACTAGACTTTGAAATTCAAATAGCATAAAAATACAAATTTCATTCAAAAGTTTCAAAAAGTTGAAAAGTTTTTGCGCTGCGCAAAGATTCTGTATTATTGTTCAAAATTTGATTCCAATGTCAGTTTTTCAAAATTCAAAATGTCAGACGACTTTTTTGAAAATCGATCCAATTTGCCTGAAAATTGTTAATCGGGGGTTTTCGGGTTGTTAATTACAAATCCGATTTCAATTTTTCAAAATTCAATTGGCGGATCTAATAAATAAAAGTAGAAAAAATATCCTTCTACAATGCTAAAAGATATGTACTCCGCTTGTTGAGATTTGTGTTTTTTTCATGTTAATCAGCGAATCCAAAATCCTCCAAGTAACAAAAAGTCGTTCGCCACATTGAATTTGCCATTTAAAATTTTTGAAAGACTTAGCGACCACGACAATCCGCGAGTAACAATTTTCAGGCAAATTGGATCGATTTTCAAAATAAGTCGAAGATTCGAAAAAAGAAGTTGTTAACAATATTTAACTTTTTTTTATTTAATTTGAAAACGAAAAACAGGAGCGTATTCATCATATCTCAGACTTTCTAGAAATCATTTTGCTTTTTGCTTTTTAGAGATTTTTGATTTTTTTATTTCAATTTTTATTATAACCATTTGTTTACGTTAACACTACAGTATCAATATTTCATATAATTAATTATATATTTACCAAGGGCGATGTATTTTTAAAAAAAAATAACACTTTAACGTTTCAAAGCCGAAAATCAATACTACCATTTTATCAACACCCTCCTTTATTCTATAATATGTAAAGAATTATAGTTTTATGGCTTTAGGGCCAATCACTAAAAATGCCCCTATGCAATTATATATCTTAAAGTTTAATAATCGTCATTTGTTTTTTCGCTTTGAACAATGGATTCTAGCCAAAAAATATTTAGTTTTAGTTTTTTAAATATAATTATTTCAGCACTAAAGGAAAATGGATCATGCAAAAAAATTATTGTTTCTAAACATATTTCGATCATTTATATCTATAAATCAAATGGGTGCATGTAATTTAAAAATTTTCATATTTATACTGTTACATCGTCCTTTTCTCAAGATTTGTCCATATGTTACAAAAAAATCAATGTAGAATTAAAAAATTTGTATAAAATAAAATTTCACTGAAGAGGGCTTATATCAAGGCCGAAACGTTTGGATAAAATGTAACTTCCTTTATTCATAGTTCCTAAAGCCACAAAAAAGTTCTTATTTATACTTTTCATCATAAGACCGCAAAAATATTCTTTTAAATTATTCTACAATAGAAAAATTACAATATTAGGTATAAAAAAGTATCAAATTATACACCTGAATGTTTTTCGACTCCAAAATTTAAAAATTTTGTCGAAAAGAGTTATTTTTTTTTAAATGAATCGTCTTTGGTGATCATAAAATGAAATATACCTAAAGTATGGAAACTTGCAAAGATCTCAAAAAGTACGCATTTTCGTGAAAAATATTCAATACAAAAGATGTACATTTTTGAACCCAAAAAATTGGGCCCGGGACCAAACAGTGAAAAAAGTAGTATCACGAAAATGCGTACTTTTCAAGATTTTTGCAAGATTGACGTTCCAGTGTATAGAATTTTAGGGAATATTTACGTAGAATATCTATTGTGATCCTAATGACTAGTATTTATTCCGCAAAGAATTTGAAAAAGCGAAAGCTTTCTATCGCCATAACAGGCATCATGAAAACACTTTAATATAGATAAACAACTATATCCTGCAGCTGAAGTTTCTCTCGTACGAGGAACTGCAGCAACGAATGGCGAGTCTAGACGCCGAGATGGAAAGAGAAATCGACGAGCTTAGAAGAAGGTATCAAACCAAGAGACAGCCAATACTCGACGCCATGGACACTAAGCGTAAACGTCAACAGAACTTCTAACAGTGATGTACTCTGTTTTTGTGTGAATGAAGCACGTGTGTGATAGGACAAAGGTGTACAGTTGTACAAATTCGTAGATTTTATTCTATAGTTCTCCCCGACTTTCTCAAATTTGGTCAAACTAAATAGGAGAAAAATTAATTCAATGTGAAAATTTAATTTTTATCCTTGCCTTTGTTGTTGAGCGATCAATTTCGTAATTAAGGCAAGAGGAAGAAAAACTGTTATGTTGAAAATCAAAAGAAATAATTGTTATTCCGTTAATATATTATTTTTTATTGTAAAGATGCAATTTTTTGAGATTTTACAAAACCTTGATTTAGAAAACGAAAATTGTAATATAGGTTAAGTCTTGGAGGTTTTTGTTTAATTCTTTTTTAAATTTGAAAAATCCATGTTTCAAAGATATAACTCGAAAGGTTAGAAAATTTTTTTCATTTATTTGCAAGCAAAGCATTTTTTTAAACAATCATCAACTAAATTCTCAAATCTCTACATTATTTTCAAGGTACAGACGTTGATGAAAATTTTGTTTGAATAAATTTTCAACAATCAAAACTGTTCTAAAAACCATTTTGGATTTTAAACTTGAAATCGATTTTGAAACCTATTTTTAACGGCACTGCTTGCAAGTGTCAACTATTGATTTATTAATATGTATTTATTGAAATATTTGAGAAATCTTAATACTAGCCACTAAAAATAGTGAGTCACTTTAAAGTATTTTCATTTGTCAGGTCAATTATACTTTTCTTATTTTTGAAGTAAAATGAGTTAAACAATTTTAGACTAGCTGCACATGTTTGTTAAAGAAGCAACCATTAAGAAATTCAACAAATGTTATTTAGATATAGATGATAATAGATTTTTATTCAATTAATCTATAGTGTGTGATAATAAAAACGTATATGTAAGATATACCTGCGAGGATTAGTTACATAAACAGAAGTTTATTTCTCTCTGTCAGTCTCACTCTTATGAGCTAATTGACTGCGGAAGCAAGAAACATTTAAGGGCAATAGGTGAACATATAAAATCCATAAATATCATAATAAAATGAGAAAAAATAAAAAAGAACTTTATAAAAGAAGTACATACGTTCATTTTACGAACGTTATGCTTCCTCATAGATAATTTAAAAAGGTTATTTAATAATCAAAGCTAAATTTACAAAATTAAATATTTTTTAAATGTATTTAAAAAATTTTTAAAAATAGGTAAAAATAATTGTGTGGATTTTTTTCAAATCCTACTAAATTTCAGGATAATCCGTCAAAGCGTTTTGTAATTTGAACCAATTCGGTTTACTAGTTTCAGTTCAGTACGTAAAAACGTTGTTACGAGAAAAATATTAAGGAATGTACTTTGTATTTCAAGTCAAATTTTTTGATTGTAAATTCTACTTTTTTTACACACGCTTCATATTCTTCGAAAGAAATAAAAGCACTTATTGTGTACGCGTTCTTTAGACATTAAGTCTTTTAAAATACTATTGAAACGGTTTTTTTTCGTTAGAAATTTCTATTTCGCATGAAATATAAGTCGCTTTATACTACAAAGTCATTAACTGTAGAAAGTTGTTTTGTGAGATGAATTGAGACATCTTATACTACAGCTACATCAGTTAGTAACTATCGAAAATGATTGCAAAGTACTCCATACTAATTTTTTTTGTAATTATTCGTAATTTACTAGTTGGTAAATGTTGATATTTTGTTAAACGTTATTTGCTATTATTGTTATCATTGTCATTGATGTTTACAAAATATTTTAATTATTATAAATATTTTTCTTACTATTTATTAAAACAACTTTAATCTTTATAATATTTATTCTGAGCTAAGCAGACGTTTCACAACTATTCCTCTTTTCTTGCTCTTCGATTTTTTGGCAAGATTCACACAAGCTTAAATATAACATCACCGTCTCAATTGTAATATTTGCAAATTTTTCTTTTAGTTCTATCTGTTTCGTCCACTATGTCCAACATTTAAATGAGCATTATGAATAATATCAAAAATATCTTCATTCGTCACAAAATTCTTCAATTTACTATTTTTAGAAAGTAAATAAATTTTTTTTTCTTTTCCAGTTGAAATTACGTCGTACCTCTTGAGTCATCGATAATCCATACATGTTTTTTTTTAATTTCATTTTAGCATCATCTTGCACAATTTCAATATATTCTTCCTTGGATAAACAGAAGGAATTATTATTTATTGCATTTATAATATTTTCTGACAATTCATTAAATTTTTTTTCATTTCAATACATTCACTCATTTTTATTTCATGTAATTAAAATTAAAATTTAATTAAACTAACAATTTAGCTATCAAAAGCACACTGAAAGAATAAATTTAAGAGTGACAATATAAACATTCTACTTTTACAAATCTGTTCACTTTGTATAAGTTTGATTTGTATCTCATTGAAATGTTTACAAAAATAAAATATCAACATTTACCAACTAACGCTGGTCAGTGTGCACATTTACCAATTTACTTGGTAAATATACGTAATTTTTTCATTAATTTAAAAATTTCTCACATTCACCAAATAGCCCGGTATTATATAAGAAATATTTCAGCGTTCGTCGCATAAATATTTTTTAAAATATTTTGTAAATTTTCAACTTCAATGAACTTTTATGAGTCAAAATTTTTTTGAAATATTTCCTGAATATTGCAGAGTTTTCATATGTAATATTGCAGAAGTATTAAGTATAATAATTCAGCAAAATTGCACGGCAATATTTCTCAATGGCTGACATTTTCCTGTTTTCATCAATATTTTATGAACCTCTCATTGAAATATTTCAAATCTTTCAATGAAAGATATAGAAAATATAATGTACTGTATGGGATGCATTATTACATTTTCTTTAAATGCAAAAATATGGGATTTCATGTGAAGTGATCAAGAAAAAAAATTCCTTTAATGTTTATTGAGTGGAAAAGGATAAAAATTTTAGGCGTCATTGTTAATTTCTCTTAAATTAAATTTTTAAAAAATTAAAAAATAATTAAATAAAAAAATGTTATTTTGAGAGGAAGACATGATTTTTTAAAAGGTCGATAACCATTTTTTTAGTACAAAAAGTGGTCGAATTTTCATGAAATTGAGTATCTTAATGGTTTTGATTTTCTGAATCGAAATTAAAAATTGCGATCGGTTATTTTGAATTTTGATACTATATTTGGATTCAGAGATCTAAAATACCTTAAGGTTCCAAGTTTTTATAGAAAATTGAAAAACTGTTAATTAATGTTTCTACGTTGTGGCCATTGTAGTCATGAACAGTTAAAAGTTGTTTTAAAAAACAGTAAAAATACTTGTATAGCGAAAAAAATTAAAAGCCATAACATTTTCATATCAATAAGACCACGATTAAAGAAAATTTTTACCTCTTGGTCGCTTCACTTAAAGTCTCTCAAATAAAGGTTTTAGTTTTTTCCTTTAATACAAAAATAGAAGAATGCGAAAACTTAGAACCTACAGTAAATAATTCAACACAGAAGATAATTGGTTTTATATCAGTCGTCCTATTTATAAACAATTTTCACGACGATTAATAAACTCTGCTATGATGCAATCAAATAGGCAAACTATTCATTTATTCTATGATTTTCCAAAATTACTAAAGTACCAGCATTTTGCAACATTTATTAGTCTTTAATACCACTTTTTTCTTTCGGTCTATTCGTTGAATGAATCAAGAGTTCGGAACATTCATTCGGTGAATTTTTTTATTTTTAATTAGTATAATTTATTTTTATTTTTTAAAACATGTTAGATTTTTGCAAAAGTTTATGTATGTTTCTTCGCAGCTCCTTTTTTCTCTATAGAGGTCACTGACAGTAAAAACGAACTATAAATTGAAAGAATTTTTGAATTTCTGCTAAAAGAAAGTTGCATGTAGTAATTCGAAGAAATTAAAACATTTTCTAGTTCGATTGAAATAATTATTATTAGCATTTCATTTCTTTCTGTCGATTCCCTTAAATTCTTCTCTCGGATTCACCACTTTCATTTGCGAAGTGGGACCAAATATAATTTAATATTGTTAAAACATCTTTTTCTTTTTTTCGACTACTTTAAAATATATAACGTTTTCGCTTATGATTTTTAGAGCTTGTCTCTAGTTTGCAATAAATTTTTGTTAAGTTCACTTATAAAATTACTGTAACTTTACAGTAAGATATGATATGTCTAGTTTTAATTTTTCTTTTCCAAATTCCATTTTCTTGTGAAAACTTGTAACTCGTGGCCTACGATTCAAATACTTGCAACAATTAATGTGATAGGTACTAAAAACGTTGGTATTCGAAAGAGAGCTTCAATTTGACCAGTAAGAAAATAAATATAAATTACAGTAAACATTGTAAATCATAAGCATATTTTTATTACAAGATAATGGAACTTGTAAAATGAAAAAAAATAGAATACTGAATTATGTTTCATTCCTTTTTGGAAAGTGAAGAATCTGCGACGAGGAACATTTGGGGAATCGAACAAAAAGAATGTTCCAAGCCGTTAATGGTTGCAATTAATTTTTGTGTGCAAGAAATTTTCTTTTCCTTGAGTGATATAGTGGAATGTTTTAGAGAGCTTCTTAATAAGTAACGCTTGTCTTTTTTTGTAAATTTCTTTTACTTCTTTCCTTCATTACGAAAAAACTAAAAGTATATTTGTGTATAACTAATTACAATTAAAGAGTACTACCTTTTTGTATTTTACTAATGATAATAATAATATTAATAATAATAATAATAATAATAATAATAATAGTAATAATTCCGATTGACCTGATGCAATGATAATACCGAGAAATCTTTTTAATGTCTGGCTGTTGTTTTATGCTAGAAGCCTATAAAAACAGAAAGTTTGATCTAAGATTTGTTATCACAACACGGAAAATTGTATTGTATAAATGAAAATAGGAGCGTTACATCTTATTTGAATACAACACAATTTTCTGTGAATTAGGAATAATTCTGGAGACTTCCCAGTGGCTTGTGAAATGTAGATTTTTAGATGTAAGTTTATAACTTTATACGAGAGAGAATAATAATGAAATATACATAAATATGAGGAGAACTCAATTTTAATATTACTTATAAAGCACTTAGCATATTGAAGGCGTTAGTTATTAAAATAGTTATTGAATTTAATTTTTGATATTTAATTAGAATCCAATAATGTTCCTGTTAGTAAGAAATTTCATTTGACGTAAAAATGCATGACTCCAAGTGCAAAGTGCCAATTGTAACATGTTCGAGTTTATTTGCTTTTAAGAAAATGTAATGTAGATTATGTAGAGAATGAATTGTGGTGATTCTTCTGAAATTGACCTTTAATACAATCAAGTATCGCAACTATAAGATTACTGGAAATTTCACGTCTACTATCGACTGTGTACCGCGTCCGAGTTGTATCCCCACTTCTTTCTCAAGACTATAGGGATTCATTCTCATTATTATTATTTGTATTATTAAGGTATACACTACCTCATGATTGTAAAGACATGATATTCAAATCTAAAGAAAAACATTTATTTTATTTCACTTTTTAATTTAAACAAGAAATTTTTATAAATAAAACAAAATTTCTATTAATTTTAAAACAGGCGTTTTCGATAAAATAACGAACTTTTTAACTGATTAATTTAATTGAATAGCAATTTTTTCAAAAAAAATAAAGGTGTTATCCAGATCAATAATAATTCCAAATTCACTCGAACTGAAGAAGCATCGTAAAGCACAATAAAATATTAATAAATATATAATTTTGCTAATTCCGTATTCTTCCTGCAGAAAAAAAGCAATTAAATATTTGCTTTTTGTTGACGTCTTTTTTCTATAATAATTATGAAAACAATTAAAATTTATAGTTCAAAGGGGAAATACCACTTGTAAGGCGAAAAAAAGTGTTTATCAAGAATTTTTTTCTAATAAACCGTTAAATTTTTTAAAAAATATTATTTATATATATTTTATTTAATTTCCGAAAAAAAAATTATTACAATCTGTGTCAGTAATGAGCCATGAATGAGGCTTCCAAAAGAACTTGATGAGTGGTGACCAAAAATTTGAAAATATGGTTTGTTTGAAATGCAAAAATTAAATTGTTTTACATTAATTACAAGATTTTTTTTCTTACTAATCGAAGGATTAAAATTTTTTTACATATTTAACAAAACGGCGATCTGTTAAAGTTAAAAGTTTGATTTTTGTTAAAAAATAAGGTGGGTTTTCAGCAGATTAATAACTCTAGATTATTATATACTAATGAAGCATATTAAATCTTTTATAAGTTCAACGTTCATGGTTGAAATGAGACTTGCTGTATATCTCATTCATTTTTTACCAGATAAACTAAGAAATTTACAGACACACTTCTAAAAATATATAGCTTAAGAAAATGCAAAAAATCAATTTTTTGAAATTTACAGGAGGTGTTCCCCCTTTAAACAAATTAGGTAAAAATTACAATTCTATTTCCTTCTTTTAAATATTAATAAACTACCATCATACGCAACTCGGACTAAGGTTTGTCGATAAAAAGTAAACTGTATCGGTACTTGAAGTCGTCAATCCAACACTGACAGCAACTTCAAGAAACAAGTTTTGATCCAAATTGTCGAGGGTTTTTTAATTAATTATAAAACATTGCTGTAATATATTGCATATGCAGGTATAACCAGAGATAAAAAGATCAAATTATTTAAGTATTGAGCGCATGTGATATTGAATAAAAATTGGTGAAATAACTTTATATCAAAAATACTTTTAATTATTAGAACTAATTTCACAATTAAATCAGTCTGTTTTGTATATCTTATGTTAGCAGTTTCCACAAATTAGTTTTTTTATTATATTAACGCTGATTTAACAAAATTTACATGGGGTCGAATCATTATTACCACACTCCGTTGGTCCTTCTTGTTTTCATAATTATATACGGGAAAAAATTAACATTATTATTCTCATTAAGAATTAAAATTTTATAACATTTAACTACTCTAATGTTAAAAGATTCATCCAAAGATTCACTACTATAGAATAACTCCAAATAAAAGTGTAACCCTCAGGGTATTAACTGCGTTAGAAACCCTGGCGCATTTTCAAAGTTACGTCATGTTTAAAAAAGTCAACGAAGGGGACCCGGGGTAAAAAATTTTTGATCCCTAACTGTATGTGACTTTTCAAGCAGATTTAGTCAATATATGCTTCTTATTCTAGCTGTACGCATTCTAATTTTAATTAAAGTTCAAATAATTTTTTAGTCTAATCTGTTGTTAAATTATGCTATTCTTATCAATTGTATATACATCAAGTGTTTTTTGCATTATACAATAATTTTTTTATGAGATTTGTGATGAATTTCCCAACTTCAAAAATCGCGTATTTTCAAACTTCGAAAAATAGTGTATTAAGCAACAAGAGTTGCTTAATTACTATCAATCCTTGCTGCTTAATATACTATTATAGAATAGATTAAAAATCGGCTGACGCTATCTTAAAGTTAAACTACCTGAAATATTTTTATATTTTTCAATATTGTCTATGACAAGAAAATGTGAAAATAAATAATCTCTTGAAAAGGAACAATAATAACTTTAGTAAATAAATAATATCACAAATCTGAGAAAATTCACGATTCATTTATGAAAATTTGTTTTTCATTGACGAATTACAGTTGATCAAAGTTGCAGGGATAGGTTAACACATGTCAGTTCCTACATAAAGTTAACACTTTATAGTCAGTACCCTGAGGGTTAAGTCAACTTAAAACTACCAAAAGTAGATTATATATTTATATGCTATTAAATTTAATGACTATTATTACAATACATTTAACATTTAGATTACCTGCCATACATACTTCTTTACCAATGTTTTATGAGCTTGACGAATTGAAAATTTTGAAAAAATTACATCACCAAAGTAATTTTTAAGCAAGGTTTTCAATTGACGACAATTATTTCTTAAAATAATTTCGTATTTTATATTTACACCTTGCTATATTAAGCATAAGAGATTGGATAAATGTAAGAACTTTTATTATCTTAAACACTAGTTTTTGTATATGAGCAATTCCACGTGAGATTGAGGGGTCTATCCTCCAATTCCTTGTATTCTACGTTTTTGGGTAGAGGTTATGTGTCTAATTGAGTAAAAAAAAATTTTGAAAAAAAATATTTATTATTTTTTGAGATATTTGCATTAAAAAATTAGTGCAACTTTTTTTTCAATTATTCATAACTTTTTCACTTTTAGTCCTAGCAAAAAGTTTCTTTTCCTTTTTTTGCTCAGAAAATATTAAAGTTTAAGAAAAAAAAATTTGGATCATCTAATTGTGTGTCCAGAAAAGAATATTAAGAATCGAAAATTAATTTTAAAATGTTATTTAGAGAAAGACCGTAAAATACCGTGCCGAGATGGTAGGAAACCTACGCCAAGTTGTGCCGTGGGGTGCTCAAAAAGCGATTTTCAATAATCATCTGTTAATAATTTATATTGTTAAAAATGCTATTTGCAATGGTCTTATTTGACACAGAATTAGATGATCTTCAAAACAAAAAATTAACTGTTTATCGTCACTCTTTCAAATGTTATTAATTATTTAAATAATTATTATTATTAATTATTAATATAAAATCCGTTCATCCGAAATAGTTCATATAGGGCTCGTTGGATGCGGATTTTGATAAGCATTAAAATGGCGTTTTTAAAATTATTCTAATTTTATTTGTTCGTAAAATATTTCATTTTTTATTAAATTTTATTAATTAATTAATTATTATCTCGAAAACAAAAAATAGGGTATTCGTCAAATTTGGCACATGTCTTTGGCTCATATTAATGAATGTCATGAATTTTTTTAGCTTAAACGGAGCCCGATAACAAGTTTAAAAATTAAAAACAAATTTAATTTTTTAAATAAATAAATTTAAAAAATTCAATTTTCTAAAATTAATTTTTGTTTCTTAAACTTGAATATTTTCTGAGCAAAAAACGTTTAAGAAACTTTTTGCTTGGAATAAAAGTGAAAAAGTTATGAATAATTGAAAAAAAAGTTGCACTAATTTTTTAATGCAAATATCTCGAAAAATAATAAATATTTTTTTTCAAAATTTTTTTTTACTCAATTAGACACATAACCTCTACCCAAAAACGTAGTATACAAGGAATTGGAGGATAGACCCCTCAATCTCACGTGGAATTGCTCATATGACCTTGTCATAAAATTAAAAACGTACTAGTAAGCACGAATTGTCACATATTAACTGTAAATTCAAACACACGCTGAATTACAGCGAATTAGGCTGCACCGTAAAGGATTTCTGACAATGAATTAGAATGAATTTAAATTATCATCTTCACTTACAGCAGAATTCATGGAGGTTATAAGTCAATTTATCGCAATTCTTTTTTACTTTCTGGCATGTTATAAATGTTTAATTTACCATTTTTAATTAAAGAGAAAAGACTGATTCAAAAACTACTATTTATTAATTTTTCCGCAAAATTCTCTTTATACTTTAATTCAACTTCTCGAAAAAATGTTTTCGAAAAAAATCTATACATTTTCAAAGAATTACCCATTTATTTATACATTTTATCAGATTTTATATATTCTATAATAAGTACCTATTTAAATAAAAAACTATACTATAATTAATCAATAGTTAATTTACAATTTAATATATATTTAAATTTTTTCAGTAGTTTTAATATATTTGATATTTTTCTTTAACAATTTCTTTTACGGTTACTGCACCAGTATTAGAGAAGAATAATTTTAATTACGTTGTGGAGAACAAATTAAAAATTTCAACTGTATATTTAGTTGTTTTCGTCATAGAACATTAAATAAATTTTTTTTTAATTTCCATATAATTAATTTATAACTTTATTTCAACATTGATAATAGTCACTTCCTAAGCAATAAGTTTAGAATATAATTGAAGATTATATTTATATATAAGACTTATTTCATAAAATCAACATGAAATTTCAACACCTTTTTCGTTTAAAGAATAATGAAAAAAGTTTCGATTTGTCAAATTCAGATTAAAAAAATAATTTGCTTAAAATTACTCACTGGTGCATGCACCCTACGAGAAGTTTTTGAAGAAATGAGATAAAACGAGACAATTTGAGATGAAAGAATCAAATGAATAAGTCAGATTCTCAGTATCGATCATAAATTCTTCGTTCTTTAATTGTTTTTTCAATTGTAAAAAATAGCATTACGAGGTAGAATATAAATAGATATTTGCAACTCTGCTGTTTCAATCATATATTTTTTCAATTAAAAAAAATCGATTTAGATTTTTCATAAGCTCTACAATGATTTAAAAAAGAAATATAAAAAAGTAGCCAATATGTTTCTAAAACAAAGCGAAAATGGTCAATTTCATAAGAATCATTAATTTTAATGACAGAAAAAACAAAGAATTTTTATTGTTTGTAGTTTTTAATTGTATCTCATAACTCAAGAGCACAAAAACTTGAAAAATGTAATTTTATATTTTCGGATAAATATGACCGGCAAAGTTTATTGTATAATGTGATTCAAACTGATGCCTGAGAAAGATATCTTCGATGTCTTGTTCACACCACAGAAAAATATGATATTTTTGATATAGAACAAAAACACATTTCTTATAGAAACAAAGTTTGTTTCTAAAAGTTTCAGTCGTTATTACCAAAATTATTTGTAACCTAAAAATTTAATCCTAATTTCGTACATGTATTTATGTATGTATGAGTGTCTGTAGACAAATTGCATTGTTTTTAATTCTTTCACTGACAAATTTTTTAAATGCTTAAATTACACTTTAGAAATGTTGGTGATTAAATGATTCTTGTACGGTATATACAAATTTATTAACTTCTTACTTTTATAATCATCAATTTACAGGATGAAATATGCTACATATTGTATTGATATCATATTACAAACATGATCATTTATTTAAAACTTATATCTTCTTGTTTTCTCTCACTGCACATTATAGCAATAATTCCTATTATCAAAGTGTTATTAAAATGATTTCTGTTTTCAAGTTTTTTATTCTTAGAAAATTATAAATTTACTTTTTCTATTAGTTACAACCCAGCTAAAAATTCCTGTACGATCCTTAAAGGTTCTCTGATGGATTAGAATCCTACGCAGGATCGCACTAGGATCCCTTGCAGGATATTGGAACAGGGATCCTGTAAAGGAACATTAGTTACTAAGGAACCTTTGCAGATTCATGTACAAGAAAATTTATTAAAAATAATTTCATGCAAAGGTTCCTACACAGAAACACTCGCATGATCCTGTACAGGAAAATATTTCATTTTTTTTTTCTTGCCAAGGAACATTTGTAGGAACCATAAGAGGATCCCACGCAGGATCCAGGGTGTATTTTTTAAATGGGTCAGAATTCGTGAAATCAGCACAGAAAATAAAAAAATATTTTTTTTAAATCGAAATATAGAAAAAACAGTTCTATTAGACCACAGTATTTTTTTTTTTGCAGAAGTTATTGCAAAGTGATTTTTTTTGTCATTTTTTAAACAAATGCTTGTTTCTTGTAAACGAATGAACCGATTTCAATAAATCAAACGGCTACACAAAGGGAAGGAAATAGACTTCCGTTTAAAATTAAAAAATTTAAAAAAAAATTAATTTTTTTATAATTTTGCTTCCTCGTGGAGGAAGCTTTGTAGTCCTTTCGTTTATAAAACTTTTCACAAGTGGCGGAAACAAATTTTTTTCTATATAGAAACATGTTATATGAGATCCTGATCAATTGTCCGGATGTATGTATGTGTGTGTGTGGATCCCTTTTTTGTTTAGAAGATAACTTTAACAGGTTTTAATGGATTTAGATAAAATTTGGTGGGCTCATTTATCATATTAATATCTCAAATCTGACCAAAGGATTTTAAAAAATACCCCATAATCAGGAAGTCGTCCACATAGCCAATAGCGCGCTATGTTCTGTCTGCGGTCCAATTAATCGGTCTACGTGTCGGCTAGAATGCAGCTCATTGTGCGTGCCATTGATGTCCAAATAGCCCGCCCATTTGTGTTGCACACGCGTCCTGCCAATATGTGTGTCACTGGTGCCGATAATATACGAATATATTAAATTGATTGAAATAAGTGGAATATAATAAATTATTAAATAAAATACAATTAGAGTTCGTCACATTTTGTTTTTATTTGTCCTTAATAATATTAATAAATTTAAAAAAATGAGTATTCATCACTCAGTCTTGGAATTTTTCCGTCGGGTTGACTTTGAGACTCAAACCCTCGACCATCATAGCTCTCAACTGCACTAGGAGCGCCTTAACGCGCTTTAACAACAATATTATAGAATAATAATCTTTGTATTCATTCCTTTATTCATTCACATTTTCTTAGTACTTGAATTTTCTCATTATTATTAGATTATATATACATATATATCTTTACTTTGATAATTAGGGTTCTCGAAGGTTTCTACCTGAAATTTGTTTTGTCACTTTCAGTTGAGGGTTTTTTTGGAAAAATTTTTTGGTATTGGATAATTTTAGCATTAAAGATATTTGGATTTTAAGGATAAAAAATTATATTGGATAACATTAGTATCGAATATATTTTGATATTGGAAAAAAATATTGATTATTTGAATATAGTGGAAGTTGGTTTTTGGAAAAATTTTTTGGTATTGGATAAGATTGGTATTAAAGATATTTGGATTTTGAGGATAATAAAATATGATATTGGATAACATTGGTTTTGAATATATTTCGATATTGAAAAAAAAATTGACTGTTTGATAATAGTGGATGCTGGCTTTTGGAAAAGTATTTAAATAGAAAGAAAGAGGGTTGAATATTGTTTTAAGGGTTGAAGTTGTTTTATGGGTTAAATAATAGTTTGTGAGTCGAATATTGATTTGAATAATAATAAAAAGTGCAGAGGAAAATAAGTTAAATAATAATCATTATGGAAAATGATGTAATGTGGAAAAAGATTAAACAACGCTAATTCACGTTCATAAAAGACTATCATTGTTGCATTAGTTAGATGAATTATAGTTAATGAAATATTTTATAGGTGAAACACATGTAAGTAAATTTTTTGAAAGCAAGAAACTAAAATAAACGATTACTTTCGAAAATTAGCTTTATCGACAGTTTAAAAGTTCAAGAAGGATACCATGTCGAACATAAAAGAGTATTTTATTTTAAGTAATAAAGATTTTAAGAATATTGAAAATGTAAATAAAATGTTAAATGATATGCATATGTATAAATTTCAAGAATTATTAAAAAATGATTCAAATTCTTTTTTCATTATGCAAAGTACTTTGTATTTACAAATGCTTGATTTAATTATTCCAATTGGAGAAAGAGATAAACATATTCAAATAGTTTTTAGCGGTAATAACAATTCTGGTCATTGGATTTGTGTTTATTACGATGGAGTAATATTTTTTTAAGGCTATTTATTATTTATTAAGACTATTTTTTAAAGCCTTAATGCAGGGTGTTTGAATATTCATCAAATAGAATATTTAATTAGATTTTTCCCTTTTAAACCAACAGAATTTTTTGTAGGTGTTGATCAACAGCCGATTGGTACAGTTAAGTGTGAAGTATATGAAATAGCATTTGCTGTAAATTAAAAGATTAATTTATGAAACTGATAATAATATGTATAATGAGCAAGCATTTGATATCATTTTTTGAAAACAATTAATTAAATCATTTTACGGCAGTTAGAATGTCTAATATTAGGATTTCGATTTGTAGAGAATCATTGGAATTGTCTTTTCATAAATCGTAATTTTATTCATTTACAATTTTATATGTATCGTCTTTCATAGAGAAGAAAAAAGCGTGGATTGCCACATGTGCGTTTAACTATATGTTTACGTACACAAATTTGCGATTCAGAAACTTTAAATAAAATGATATGTGCTGAAATCACAGACGAAATAAAGAATCCAGAACTTTCTAACATTGTAAAGCGATTTTAAGTTCATATGGGCCTTGTAGTAAACAAAATAGGACTTTACCCTGCATGGATCCTGAGATGGGTCAATTAAATGTATTGCTGACAATTCGATGATCGTAGCATATAATCTTTATTTGAGTACAAAATTTAAAGGTCATATTTACTGTGCAATAATAGGTATTATATTATTATAACACCAAAAGGTTGAAAGAGTAATACAGTAATCATTACAAAAATAATATTATTATTTTTGTGAGATCAAAATTCTAATAACTCTCCGTCAAATAAAAATAAATTTTTAATTTTTTACAAAAATTATAGATACCACGCGCGTTTACGCGCGTTTCTTTTAGCTAGTACATATAATAATAATTAACGCAATAAATTAACAATAGCGTTGTACACTTCAATTCTGTTTTTGTTTGTGTCGAACAGACCTATGTCCCAATTCGCCTATTCCCCTGTTTTACAATTTTTATTTTTGTTCCTCTTATGATTCCTTTCAGCTCATACTTATACAAAAGAAATTTTTATTCACTAGAAACAACGGTTTACGAAGAAAACTAGTTACAATCTTTTAATGTGCCCTGGCGGATTGTATGATGCGAATGCTCCACGAAATTGGCGGAGCATTCGTGGAGCACGAGATTGAAATTGAAATTTTGTCTAAAATGTATAAAACTGATGAAATCTAGTACAGTATATTATCAACATTTGTCGATAAAATCAATATAACCGCGTTTTTTAGCAGGTAGGTAACAGCACTCTTATTTTCTTTTCTTTGAATTTTTTTATGTATTTTTTTTATCATAAGCAAAAATATTTGTTTAATGGAATTTTTAGAAAAAAATGTATTATTTTATTTAAAAAAATTAATATTTTAATAAAAAAATATTATTGGTAAAAAATTAATTTTTTTTATCAAAAAAAATTTGAAAAATATTAAATTTAAACAGTAATAATGGTGAAAAAAAATGAATTATTTCATCAAAAAAATTCATGTATTAATTAAAAAATATTGGTAAAAATCAATAATTTTAACTAAAATATAAATGAAAAAACAATTTTTTTATTAATAATATTAGTGAAAGAAAATATTTTTTAAAGGAAATATTGGTGAAAAAAAATTATTGAAAGAATCGATGTTAATAACTTATCATCATTTTATTTAGCCATTCTTTCCAAAAATAGATATTTAAATTCACAATAACACATCACATATTCCCACTAAACAATTCATTTTTTCCTACAGTAAGGGAGAAAAAAAATAAAAATATATTATATATGTACAAGAACATGCACATTTTCTTGTACAAGTATAGTTTCTTGTCCAGGACCTTGTACAAGTTCTGGTACAAGAACATGTCTCAATTCCAGATGCTGAACCTGTTGAAGAACATCACTCGAACATGTACAAGTTCATTAATGAACATATACAAGAACTTGTACATTTTCTTGTACAAGCCCTAGCGGATGGGTTCAACGCGATTTGAACGGAATAACGTTGAAACACCGTTGGGAACACAACGGTCACTAAAAATGTTATTTAAAAAATAAAATATGATAAAGTATTTATTGGTATTTGTAGAAAAAGTGTTCATGAGTAATTTACGACCTTATTTGTATCAATTTAATACGAAATAAGTGAAATAAAAGATAAAATATGGAGCACTGTTATATCAGGGTTTTCTGTCAAATTTTTATATAATTCAATGAAAAGTTTTTTAAAATATGATTTTTTAATAATAAAAAAGCAGTGAAAAAGTATTAATTTATTATTTTAAAGCATTTGAAAGGGTAATAAATAGTGAAAATTAATGTGTTTATTGTGTACTATTTGTGTGTATAGGACAACGTTTATCGACAGCAAGTTACAGGTTACATCGGTGAACGCTAGATGGCAGCACAGTAAACAATTTTTTTTGGGTTTGCTGATTACGAATATAATAAATTCAATTATTGTTTAATTGTTTTGATCCGCCA